AGTCTGTATGCCACCTCTGAAACGCAGCGCCCGCCTGCGTGTCGGCATCGCTCGTGGCAGAGTCCCGGTCCTTTCGGTTGGGGCTTGAAGTGGAACCGCGGGGCTGCCCTGAGCATCAGAAAGGACCCTCCAGAGAAGTGAGGATCTCCATTGGAAGCTTTGGGACCTCAAAAAGGAAATGCTATTTGGAGGCACCAAGATTCTTACAAATGAGTGTTTCGCCCTTTTCTTGGTAAATGGGAAACAAGAGTCTCCCCCTTAGCGTTCGGAAGTTCTGTGATAGGCGTGACCGAATTCCCCTGCACCTGAAGAAGAGTTCCATGAGACCTGGCTGTGGCTCAAAAAACCGGAATTCCAAAATGGCTTGCCCCGGTAAGTGGAAACATGGACCAAAACCTGCGTAACCCTAGCTCTTTAATTTTGAGCCACTGCCACCTATTGAGAAAACACAACATAGTGGATCCATTGACCTGATTTCCTGGGTCACTGCCACTGCTTCCCAGCCAGTTTGTTTCAAGCGAGCAACAATGAACTCCCAGAACAGGCGCGGCAGGCGCACCGTCTGGCACCACCCCTTGCCTTCATGCAACCTATGTAGCACGCATTGGTCAAAGCAGATCTACCTTGATACTACCACGGGAGGCCAGCGGCCTTGGCGCTTGCAGCCAAGCTATTTGAAAGGATCTGCTTTCCGTGTGGCCCAATTCTTTATTAATTGGGAGTGTGCATTCGAAGTCCAGCTGGTTCGCATAGGCAAGTTTGAAAACGTTCTTGTAAGTCTCCATGAGCCAGTCAAACTTTGGTCTGCCCGGTCTTCTGTACGAAATATATTTTGGGTGCAACCCGTCACTTTCCACCTGATATAAAAACCAAAAGGGCAATATCTTGCGCGTCTTCTTCTTCGGCTGCTCCTCCGGTTCGTCTTCGTCTGCAAGCTGTTGCTTCTTCGTGCTTGGCAGCTCGAGTCGGCTTCTCTTATTTTGGGGAGCTGTTACGGGGGCTCGTCTTTTTAAGGTTGGTCTCCGCGAAAAATGGCTGCTCTGTTCCTTGCGGTGTTCCTTGTGATTTCCCTTTGAAACTACAAACAAGGGGGTGCCAACTCGTAAAAACAACACCCCGCAGAAATCGACCCCAGGACAAACAGATTTAGGATACCATGAGCTGGCCCGCATGTTTCTTTTGTCCCCCAATCGGATCGCTTCGAAACAAGCCCCGAACAAAAACAAGGAGCGGCATTTCTGTTTCCAGTCAGTGAACCACCACCAACCCTTTCGACGGTGAGGGTCATGACGATGGCTTACAATGGACTTAGCATGGGAAGCCAACACTTCAAGCAGAGTTATAATCACAGTGAAGCAAGAGTAGATGGCACCACCTCCCCGTTAACATCCCTTATCATCCTCTCTACTTCCGGACATGAACAGAACAGTTTGGACTCCCAAACACTGACAGTGACCTTTCGCGGAAGCGAAATTTTGTGGCATTGGGTCACAATCAAAACCTGGTACTACAATGGTCATTCCATCATGGTTGCACCCAAGGCGGCTGCACCCATTTATGGTTGAGATTCTCCCTTAACCTTCGTCTACCCGGGTTTTGAGCCGGCCTCTGATTTCAGTTTACAGATTCTTGGTAATTATTTCTGTCGCAACCCCCCCCCCCCCGGCAGGACTTCCACACGTTCGCTCCTCCTGGGGCATGATGATGTGCTCCGATGCCTCTCGAACCCCCCCCCCAAACACACGAAAAACCGGATTTGCACCCGTTCCGGGCATGGGAAGCCCTGATTCAACTTTTGGTTACCTATCTCCCTCACCCAGAAATCTCAAGGTGTCTGGGTGAACTGTGCCTCAACCGATTGAGGGAGCCATGACAGGAGCTGGCCTGAATTCTATTGCGAAAGGGGCTGAATCGCCACGGTGTGGTTTGGTTGAATTTTTCAGCCTTCAGCCCGAAAACCCAGGTTGAGTTCGGTGCCTCAATTGGCGGGTATAGTGTGCTCACCGAAACAAACCACAAAAAAAAGGAGCGATTCCTCGGCCCGCACCACCGATTGGCATATGATCTACTGCTGGCGAATCCTTGCTGGAAATTACTCATCGCATGTGAATCGGTGCCAGAACCTTCCCAAACCCAACTATGATCCTGGAATTCGAGGATCCTGGCGTGTGAGCGGGTCAATCCTCACTGCCACAGTTCCACACCTTGAAATAAACAAATAAAGTTGTGGGAGTAGCAAGCCAACTATCCACTTCTGGAGAGAAGCCATCACTCCATCATTCATCACCATCTACAGAGGAAATGGTTCAGAGAGGGGAGAAGGGAACAGGTTAACCGTCTGTCCACTCTTTGCTCGTTCCTCACTCATCCTTATGTCAGAGAGTCTTAACCCTTTCTCATCTCATCTCATTTTGCCGGTGGCAAACGGATATGTGAAGCGCATATGTGTACATAGACGTGCGCAGTCTATCTGACAAGCACATGTATTACATATATACATATACGCGCCTGCTATAATGAAAGGTAACGCCCCAAATTCGACGCCACTTGCGGGGCTTCCTTCTTGACACCACCGCATGGCCTCCTGTTCCAGGACAGGCGGCGCCGGCGCCGGAGCCGGCGGATTTGCCGGCTCCGCCTCTGAAAATGCCTTCCGCGACTCGTTCGCCCGACGCTTCGGTTCGACGCCAAAGGGTTGCCGTTCATTTCGGAAGGGTCTCAGAGTGGCTGGGCCGATCCCTGGGTGTTAAAGAAGGGAAGGCAAAAAGGAAACAACCATTTCGGGGTATGGGTTTTACAACGTAACATTCCCCTATTGATAGGACGGGTTGGGTAATCCAGGGTCAACATTACTTGCGACTTGGCTGTTCAACCCACGTTGGTCATTTTATCCTCACCACCGACTGGGTTACAGGTAACGGTGGCTAGCCACTTGCTTGGCCGAACACTCACTTAGTGTATCTGCGTTGGTGCCAAACATGTTTGGCTAGTGTTAACCTCGGATGAAGCAACGAAGGATCTTTCAGTAAGAAAATGATCTAATATTCGGGGAGGGGCCTCTGATAAGTAGGGTCCTCTTCATTCAAACCCGACGTTGCCATCAGTGACTGGGGAGCTTCCTCAGAGATCACTGGCTTGTCACCACCAGGGCTGTAATATTTCAATCGCGTAGTTCACCATCACTGGCGAGCTTTCTCAGAGCTCACTGGCTTGTCACCCGCTCCACCAGAATTTCAATATTGCAACCGCGCGGTTCACCATTGTTGCCATCAGTGACTGGGAAGCTTCCGTAGAGCTCACTGGCTTGTCACCTCCACCAGGGATTGAACATTTCACCATCGTTGCCATCAGTGTCTGGGGGAGCCTCCGCAGAGATCACTGGCTTGTCACCCGCTCCTCCACCAGGGTTTTAATATTTCGAACGCGTAGTTCACCATCGTTGCCATCAGTGACTGGCGAGCTTCCTCAGAGCTCACTGGCTTGTCGCCCGCTCCACCAGGGCTTTAATATTGCAATCGCGTAGTTCACCATCGTTGCCATCAGTGACTGGGGAGCTTCCTCAGAGCTCACCCGCTCCTCCAAGGGTATTTAGTGCTTCAACCGCGTAGCCCGCATCGTTGCCATCAGTGACTAGTGACTGGGGAGCTTCCTCAGAGATCGCCCGCTCCTCCACCAGACCTTCAACATTTCGAACGCGTAGTTCACCATCATTGCCATGAGTGACGCGGGAGCTTCCTCAGAGCTCACCTTGTCACCCGCTTCTCCACAGGGTTTGAATATCGAACGCGTAGTTCACCATCGTTGCCATCAGTGACTGAAGAGCTTCCTCAGAGCTCACTGGCTTGTCACGCCAGTGTTTTAATATTTCGAACGCGTAGGTCACCATCGTTGCCATCAGTGACTGGGAAGTTTCTTTAGAGCTCACTGGCTTGTCACCCGCTCCTTCACCAGGGCCTTAATATTTCGATGGCGTAGTTCACCCTCGTTGCCATCAGTGACTGGGGGGCTTCCTCCGAGATCACCCGCTCCTCCGCCAAGATTGAAAAATATTTCGCACGCGTAGTTCACCATCATTGCCATCAGTGACCGGGGAGCTTCCTCAGAGCTCACCTTGTCATCCGCTTCTCCACCAGGGTTTTCATATATCGAACGCGTAGTTCACCCTCGTTGCCATCAGTGACTGGGGAGCTTCACCCGCTCCTCCACCAGGGTAATATTCGAACGCATAGTTCATCATCGTTGCCATCAGAGCTCACTGGCTTGTCACCCCCTCCACCAGGGTTTCAATATTTGGAACGCGTAGTTCACCATCGTTGCCATCAGTGACTGGGGAGCTTCCTCAGAGCTCACTTGCTTGTCATTCAATATTTCGAACGCGTAGTTCACCATCGTTGCGCGTCCTTCATTCTGCTCACTGGCTTGTTCCTGACCTTGTGAGGACACGCCGAGGGGTTTGAGCCGCTTGAGTTTGCTGGGCAGAAGAGACGCGCGTGTCGCTGCGGCCCTGAGAAAAGAGGCCGACGCATGTAAACAAATCTATCCAGAAGAAACAAAAAGGTGAGCAGACTTTGGACAACCAATTCAAGTCTCAGTTGTTCAGTGGCCCTGGCAAAAAAGGGAGCCCTATTTGGGGAAGACCATTTTTAGTGGGGCAGCCACCAAACAGAGGAAAAAGGGTGCCACTGAACAACTGAGAAGTTGATTTCTTTCGGAAAAGTAAGCCATGGAGATCGGGAGAAAGCGAGGTGTGGAACCGTTCCTTCTCAGGAAGGCTGCCTCGCCGTGTTTTTCGGCTTTCCCCCAATGGACGGCGGGACAGCTTGGAGTCCCCAAGTCTGGACCGCGGTGAAAATTTTAACAACCCCCCTGAAAAGTCGCTCGTGGACACAAATCCTACATGATGTCCCAACCGGGCCCCCAAATCAAATTCACACCCAATAGGCGTACTCTTGAACAACAAAGGAAAACTCGGCCCAAAAGGCGAGGTTCAAGAAAACCTCGATTCTTATCACCGCCATGTGTGCCGCGTTGCGAGGGTTCCAACTCGCAGGATGCCTTCCTAACCCTGGCTCCGGGTTCCAAATGCTGATCATTTCGCAGCACTTCAGAAACCTGGTAGGATGATTTGCTTCCCCTGGAAACACCAACAAACCTTCTGGCTTCAACTCCATGGTTTCCTTTCGTGCGAACGGATGTCGCAACCATCCATGGTTGAAACCACCTGAAGGGCCCCCTGTCTCTCGAGATCCCAGCTCCTTGCACCCACATCAGCCTCCCTCGAATTGGTTCGAAGCCCGGTGGTTTGGCTCACGGCTCTCGGAACGGCCCACCTGTCGGGCTGATCCACAAAAACATGAGAAAAGAATTGTTCTGAGGCTGCTACGTGTGTGTGTGTGTGGTGTTTTTCTTTGGGTACCGGAAACCGAACCCTTGTTTTTTTTGGATTTGAAAGGGAAAAAGGAAACCGCCTTCTTTTTTCTTTGGGGTGGGGGGCCTAAGAAATCACACACCCACATGCGTCAAAATCAAAGCGTGGTACTAAAATGGTCTACCCAGATTCAGGCAAACAATTAAGAAGGCGGCGAAGGCACCCATTTGTGGCGAGGGATGATCCCTAACCTTCATCTCCTGGGTGTTACTGGGTGTTAAGGCCGTAGCTCACATGATATTTAAGCCAAGATAAAAACCCACCCACTTCTCTTGGGGCGGGGAGGGCCAACAAGAATGACACTCAACCCTAACTTGCGAGTCATCTACCCTCAAACCTAACCTCGTTTTGGAGACCGCACCCCCTCAGAACCAAACCCCCCGCCTTCCGCGCCTCCATTGCCTCGGGTTCTATCGGCGGACTCGGCGCCGGCACCGGCGCCTGCGAGACTCGCGGGGCGCGTCTAGGTCCTCCAACAGAGAGGTGAGAATCAGGGTACCCGTTTGTTTTCTTCTTCATTTTTCTTTTACTAGGGGAACCCAAAACCCCAAAAAACACTTCTTTCTGCGGTCCAGTTTGGTAGGGGAACCCTCCCCCAAAAAAAAGACTTCTTTCTGCGGTCTAGTTTAGTAGGGGAACCCTCCCCAAAAAAAGACTTCTTTCTGCGGTCTAGTTTAGTAGGGGAACCCTCCCCAAAAAAAGACTTCTTTCTGCGGTCCAGTTTAGTAGGGGAACCCTCCCCCAAAAAAAGATCTGCGGTCCAGTTTAGTAGGGGAACCCTCCCCCAAAAAAAGGACTTCTTTCTGCGGTCCAGTTTTGTAGAACCCTCCCCCAAAAAAAAACCTTTCTGCGGTCTAGTTTAGTAGGGGAACCCTCCCCAAAAAAAGACTTCTTTCTGCGGTAAATGACAACAGCAAACATCACAATAGCACACGAAACCAGAGGAATGAAAAACAAAAAAAAGAACAAGAGTTGCCACCTCTACGTGCCCCGTGCCGCACGCGGTGCCTCTGGAAGGGTGCACTCTCTGCATTCTGAGGCAAAAACAAGGACCTCGTGTTGCAGTTGTGTTGCTCTCGGCAGACCTGAGGTCACAGGTATGGTAGAGAACAGCAGGGAAGCCCCTGCGCCAGAGATCCGTCCGCTCGGGATGCCGTACCGCTCTCGGGTATTGCCCGCCCAAGTACTTTGCCGCAGTGAACTCTTCGTCAAAGGAATACAAATTCGTCAGGATCGCCTGCTCAGTGTAGGGGAACCCTCCCCAAAAAAAGACTTCTTTCTGCGGTCTAGTAGGGGAACCCTCCCCCAAAAAAAGACTTCTTTCTGCGGTCCAGTTTAGTAGGGGAACCCTCCCCCAAAAAAAAGACTTCTTTCTGCGGTCCAGTTTAGTAGGGGAACCCTCCCCCAAAAAAATGACTTCTTTCTGCGGTCTAGTTTAGTAGGGGAACCCTCCGCAAAAAAAGACTTCTTTCTGCGGTCCAGTTTAGTAGGGGAACCCTCCCCCAAAAAAAAGACATTTTTTTGCGGTCTAGTTTAGTAGGGGAACCCTCCCCAAAAAAAGACTTCTTTCTGCGGTCCAGTTTAGTAGGGGAACCCTCCCCCAAAAAAAAGACTTCTTTCTGCGGTCTAGTTTAGTAGGGGAACCCTCCCCAAAAAAAACTTCTTTCTGCGGCCCAGTTTAGTGGGGGAACCCAAGTTCAAAAAAAGTGGTTAAAAAGGGCACTACTGGGGGACCTAGGTTGGGTTGACCGTCCAACCCTTGGCAGCTTAGGAAAATCAAGAAGCTTTTTGTGCTGCCCCCTGAAAAGGACCATGGGCGTGAAAGCCACATTAACGCCTTTTTGTGGGCAGCCCCCTGAAAACCACCAGAGCCAATGGTGAATTGAGGATCCCTGCCCTGATGATGCGCTCCTTGTTTGCGAGCTATAGAGACAACAGGACCCACCTCCTCAATCCGAATGAAGACCTGGAATTCAAGGGGCAGATCCAGAATCATGTAAAGAAACACAATTGCAAGGGTGGCCAAAATTGTGGTTGAAACTGTTCCCCACTAAACTTCATCTACGAACCCAGAATTCATCAACCCAGTTGATAAAGAACGGGTAGTCCACTTCAAAGAATATCACTTGCTGGTTCTCGGCAGGGAACGAGGGAATGACCCATCCCCTACCCTATGGTTTCTTAAGGGATTCCTACTGATCCTCCCCATTTGGAGGCTAATTCTGAGGGTGTCGCCTAGCAGCTTCGGGCCATGTGGGAGATGTGTCGGCCAATCGTGGGAAACGGCCACTTCTGTGGACAAATCTCACTTCGCACCACTTGGGATTGCTGAGTGATCAACCAACATGAACAAGTTTTCATCCACCCCAACTGGTGGAATGGTGGAATGTGTCCATCTAGAGTAGGAAAAGGAACCCCCCCCCCCGTAGCGCGCAAAAATTTCGGGTTTCACACCCCCCTCCCACTCCCAATTCCGAGTGGATTTGGACCTCGGAATTCGGAATCGCCCGCGCCTGCACCTCGACCGGCATCTGAGCCTGATGGCGGTCAACCAAAGAGAAAACCACTGACAGCATGTGGATGTGGATGGAGTGGTGGGTGGACGGGGGAGCTACTAGGAAAGTGCATTCTCGGACGACATCGGCGACTTAAATTGGGTTTAGAGCACTCGACAACTCAACAAGCCAGTTCTCAATGCCCTTACTGCAGTTTTCCGCGCGCTCCCCCTTCAGGCACCACAAGAGGAAAAGTCATGTCAAACAAAAGCATTATCGGCAGGTAGCTGATGGAACTTTGGACTGTCAAGAGCAAAGCCATGCGCAGAAGAACACAAAGGATCGTTCAGGATGCGGAAGAGGGGCTCCATCACGGACCTTCCATCAGCACCAGCAACAGCCTTGAGTGTAAGTCGAGAAGTGGCCATGGGTCAAAATCCCGTACCCCCAGTGAACATCCCTATCCTCACGTGCACCTACCCCGAAATGGTACCATTGGTTTTGACCCACAGCCAAGTGAAGGCGTTCACGCAGATCAACAAGAACGGGCAACAGCCCAGTTCCGACAGGTTTTCTCCATGGCCAGCACGGCAGTGGCAGTTGTCGCGCGAGATCTCAAGGATCTCATGGCCGATCCCAATGGAAGACCCACACGGAAGGTCGGCAGAAGTCGCCAAAAACTGAGTCACAATCAAAACCTGGTACAAGAATGGTCGACCCAGAACCAAGCTTCAAGAACTAAGAAGGCGGATATCCGCAGCTATTTATGGCTGGGATCCTCCCTTACTAACCTTTACTTACCCGAATCGGCTTTGATTTTGGCTCAACTGGACATATCCGGATCCTCCGGACTGGGGGGTGGGGTGGCGTAAGGAGCCAAGTGCGGTGCAAAGGGGAAGCAAAACAAAGCGAAACAAGTCGTGCTCTTATCTCCACAGAGGCCAGGACATATGTGTATTATATATATATGGGTTGATCAACGTTCCATTATGTATGTACGTATATATATATATACACGAGGGTTGATTAACATACTTGGCCCCCACATGACCTTGGGCAACTCTTCCATGTAGTGGTGAAAGTCATCTTTTGTGGTGCTCTGCCCAATGGTCATCCCACGTGAAGGCCCTTTTGATTAACCCCCATATGTTTATGTAGATAATGGTGAACCCCCACACGGTGCAGACCACGCAGAATGCAGGCAAGCCACTATTAGTAGGCACTCAGGATAGTGACATCCCGAAAATCACTCAAATCAGTGGCGTGTATCACCCACAAGCCATGTCGAGCAGACCTCAACATGTTCAACCACTGTCAGGGGCCCAGTTCCTTTAAAGCCAGGATGGGGATACTGTCCAACCCGTGGTATGGTAGCAACAAAACTTTGTTTTCTTCTGCCCCCTCACCAAAAAAGAAACTAACAAAAAGGGGTAAACAAAAAAAACAATCCCCCCCAAGCCTCCGGAATTTCCAGGTCATCCTCTTTCTCCTCCTCCTCTTCTGCCTCCTAGCGAAATCCAGCGATGTGCCCGGATGCAAAATCCACTTGGGCCGCACGGCTCCTTTGAGCTGGTCCAAAGTTGAGTTCGGTCGATTGATTTCTTCAATTTTCTGTGGTTCTTGGATCTGCTAACAGTTGGTTGCTTGCAGTGGGATACTCTGGATGGACAAAATCCATTTCGCACCACCTGAGGAGCCCTGGTAATAGTCCCTGTAACTACCAACAGACATCAACAAACGTTATGGCTTCAACCACGGTTTCATTTCGCGGTGCGATTTCTGGATTTCGCAACCATCCACTGTATGTCTCACATCCCTGACGCTCACAGTGCAAGAGTCTAAGAGTCCTGAAAACCGCCGAGTTTCAGTCTCTACCTTTTCGGTTGGTTAGCTTTTCGGGAAGCCCACAACAAAACCAAACCTTTTGGGGGCCCTTTTCATGAAACGGGGTTGCACAAGTCAAAGCTAACCCAACATGCGGCAATCCCCCAGCAGGCGCAATGCAGAAACCTTTGGATTTGCAGGTGGATTCCTCCTTGAAAAGCGCCCCATCAACAAAACAAAGACATGTCCTGCACAAATCTATGGTAACGACGAAACCCCGAACCCATGGAACCCGAAGTTCAACCAAACTGACCCAAGGCAAGCTATTTCTAGGATGGTCTTCCCTCTCGGCGAAGTGAGACAAGTTCACAATTGCCACAAAAAACCATCAAGCGTCCCTGAGGCTCCCAACATGTGCTTTCTCCAGGCCCCTGCAAAGTCCGTGTTGTTCCTTAGAGGGCCATTCCTGCGTGGCTTCATGAGCCTGACCCTTTCAAAACCCAAGGTGGGGCATCGCGTTTGAACGTGGGATCTGGGGAAAGGGGCGCCTTGATTCTGCGCAAAACAAGAAGAAAGACACAGCTGCAAAAGGCTCTGGAAGTGCTGCGGCTTGTCCTGATGGGCCCAATCCAGATCGCCTCACTTGAGATGTCTGCCACACCGGGCCAAGCCGACCGCTCAAAGCACCCCGTTGCGGCGCACGCTGCGCATAGCAGGGCGTTCTGCTCGTCGTCCCTCACATACGTGGGGTCTGCGCCCATGCGGACGCCGCTACATCCAGGGCCAACCGCGGAAAAGAAAACGACGCCAAGAAGATTGCCTGGAGCCAGCCCACAGGCTTGTCGCCCCATTTGTCCAGGGCTCGCTTAGCAGCAGGGCTGCTTGCCCTTGTGCCCTTTTTCTTTCGCAGCAAGCCAGTTCGGAGTAGGAATGTCCACCAGTTTCCATCTGCTTCAAGCGCTGCTATATGGGTATGTCCTCCTTCGGGGGAACCACCAGTTAGCCGGTTGAAAGGGACACCTAAAGGAAACCATCTTGACTGGGGGATCCATCTATTCGACTGGGGAAATCAAAAACACAAAACAAAACAAAACAAAACAAGCAAAAAAAAACAAAAAGAACATCCTCTTTTCTTTCCTTTTCTTTTTTGGGGGGGGGGGGGGGGGGCGGGGCCTACCTGTTTGTCTTATAAATTGATCTTGGCTACATGAATCAACGGAAGCCCCTCGGGCTCTTGGAACCTTCTAAGGCGCAGGGGTCTGAGCCTTAAGGCTTGTCTTGTTGCCGGGAGGCTCACTGGGACAGTACGCTTCGCTCTTTTCAAGGTGTAAAGCCAAGAGAGCAAAAAGGTAAGAGCAAAGATATCCAGGACAAAGTTGGACAAAAGGCTCACTTCCCTTAGCCAAGGTCCAAGCGTGGTGCTTGCCGCTAAAATGGCCCAGCCGCTGACTAAAGCCCAGGCACTCCGGGAGTTCAGGGGAGTGAGAGCTGGTGAGCGACTGCTTTTCAAATCACCCTAAAAATCTGGGCTGCCCTCAGCTCCCCCGCTAAAGTTCAACTTGTGGGTTAAATGGAAACTACCACGAAGCACTAAAAGCCGCCCAAAAAGCTAAGGGCAGCCTTGGAAGGCTGGCGCAAGCTTTGGCTGCACCAAAAACCAAAGCCCCAAGAGATAGAAACGCCGCTGGCGGCATTTCGGAATGACACCTTCAGACTCAGCCAATTCTGGGGTATACTCGGCCAAGCTTGAAATATGAAACAAACCCCGCGACCTCAAAAAGTGCCTGTTTTGCCTGGACCCCCGTGAGATTCCCATCAGGAAAAAGAGAATCGGAACTCTTTCTGTTTGAAGGGAAATCCCTTCAAACATAGAAAACAGGAAGGTTGATGTTGAAGTTAAAGGCACCCCCCTCCAAAAAAATCCAAAAGCAAAGCCACCCACGGGGTGTCTGGGCGCAACCCGACGTTGCCCTTCGCTCGCTCGCGCCTCGGGTTCGGGATCCGCTTCCTGCGAGACACGCGGGAAGCGAAAAAGGACAGCGGCCGCAACAGGGGATCCCTTCCACCAACATGGTACTCAGGTTCTGATGATTATTTAGGGGGTCAAGGCAAAAACCTTCCAAAATCTTACCCCCCCAAAACCTTCCGACCTTCAAGGGGGGGGGGGGTTGCGGCTAATACGGGGCTTACATTGCTGTCGATGGACAACGGATGGGCAAACACCACCTGACAGGAAACATGCGACTTGACAGGGCCTCCCAAGAGCAAAGTGGTACAGGCAACCGTCAGGCAACCTCCCACAGCCGTGTTGGAGGAAGGGTACGAGTTTGACACATACAGATGAGTTCCCGAAGCTGGGTGAGTCTCTTTGGCATCTGGAGGAATTCATTGGGGAAAGCCGGAGCCGGGCACAAAGGCAACTCATTTCAGGGGTTGATCTTACTTCCGTGGATTGCCCAAGCAAAAAGCCCGGACTTGTTTTGTTTACCACCAACATGAGTGTGTGTGTGTGTGTTTCTCCCTCAAACAAATGTGACTCTTCTCGTGGCATTTCCGAGGCTCGCTCCCCAGGCCAGAAACCCGGTGAGGAAGCGAAAGGGAGGCGATGAACAAAGACGTAGGTACCTACGGACCCAGAGCCACAGGCAAACGAGCCGAAGGTCGAAGAAGGAGCCGAAGGTCGAAGAGAACATGAGGCAGCTGTGCAAAAAGTGGACGCACCTGTCATCCCTTCAGACTTCCGGCCAAGAGAGCGAATGGAGCCAGCAGCCATGAATCCCACAGAGCCTGGGCCTTAGGCGGGGCTCGTCACCTCGCACCTCATGAACCAGAATGATCACATGTGGCGTTGATCCAAATGTGGATGACCATTGGTGGTCGAAAACCCAGGGAGAGAGAAAACAGATTTGGATCTATTTCAATGCACATGGGAAAAGTGACCCATGGGCAAAACTGGGGGCCTCGGGAAGAAATCATGAGCCCCCATGGTCCATTGGCCATTGTTAGTAGCTGGTTCTACCTAGATAAATTGGCGCCATGGTAAAGCCCTGAACCGTGTCGGGAAGATTGAAATCGAATGAGGGCCGGGGTGTTCCCAAGCCCAAGGCCTGTATTTGCTCCTCCTTGGCCTGAAGACGTCGCGAACGGCCACTCGCAGCCGAAACAAGCCGGACTCTGAGAGTTTCCGGAACGCAGTCTAACTTTTAGTCTACCTGAGTGTTTAAAACAAACAAAGTGTTGCATCGGAGACCAGTCAGGGTTCTAACCGTCCCATGCTCCCCTGCGCTTGGCTTCCGTTGCTTGATGACTTTCCCCGACGAAAGGTGATCCAACAAACAGCGCCATATACCTTTCGGGGTGTGCAACTGCCCACAAAAGCGGAGGATCCTCTCTAAATGAGGACATCCTTCCAACAAACCAGCAACAATATGCGCCGGGGGCTTAACCATGGCAGAATTTATAGGGGCGTTCCCCCCGAATTGGGGCAACTCCCCCCCCCCCCCCCCGAATTGGAGCAACCCCCCACAAAATCAACTGTATTTCCAAGCTGAAAATAACAATGCATATGTTCGCTAGGGAGATCTATAAGATGTTGCCACACGTTGACTCTGGTTCATGCATCTAAGTTGGCGACTTATCTGGGCAAATGATCACTGTCATTCACCACCAGGAAATCAGAAATCCTCAAGCAAAGGACCTTCAGCACGGGTGGAACTCGTTTCCCCTGGGACTTGCTCGTGAGCTTGTTTTTGGCTGAGAAACGTGGGCCAAAGCACAAGGATCCCAAGACCGTTTCCTGCAAAGCTTGGATCACGAGAGGCTTTCTGGGATCCTTCGGATCTTGGAGTAAGAAACTTCCACTGATACCAAGGTGGGGTCCTTTGCCCACAGGAACTCGCAAATTGGATTCCTTGAGCTGCAACCTCAAACCACCAATTCCAAACATATATCCCTTTGAGATCCGAGAAAAGAAAAAAAACGAACAAGGAGATGCCTTCAGAACGTCCAAAGAACTCGCGGAGCTCAGAGAAGCTTTGCGCTGCGGCTGCGAAAGTTGAGATGAAGCCCCGAGGCCCCGAAGGTGCGACGTCCGTCAGCGACACATTCCGAGAACACCTTCCAGGGAAGAGAGCACCACGTATGAAAGCGGACCCCAAGACTGCTCTTGGCAAAATGCGTGAACGCGTCTATCCGAACCAACACATCATTGTACTGAGTGCTTCCAAAATAAGGTATCCCGAAAACTGCGTGGTTTCCCTTTGCCTTCCCTTCAAACCCAACCGCAAAGGGCTCTACTCGGTTTAGATACGCCTATGTTTGTCTCTCTACAGATGCTTGGAATCCGTACACATGAGCCAACACACTGGCCTCTTTCGAGATGGCTTGAAGACGGAAACCAAGAACACCTGGAGGGGTCCTTCGCTTTAAGAACCACCCACGCGCCACCAGTGGGGTTGTAGCCGTCCAAAGCGCCCAAAACCCCTCCGATAAACCGAGTTTTTACATGGGCGTCACTTGAAATAGGGGGGTCCCCTCCCCAAAAAAACAAACACAAGAAACAATCCCCATCCCCTCCCAAAAAAAACACAAAAAACACAAACCCCTTCCCCTCCCAAAAAAAACACAGAAAAGCAATCCCCAAACCATGGCCGTTTTCCCCGGTGGATTTCCCTTGTAAACGAAGCCCCCAGAAAGGCACGTAGCGAACCCCGAGCCTTGGAGAGGCTCTTCCACTGAGAAGCTGCCGTCTTCACCAGCTCCAGGGTGTTCTGCAACTCCTGCGCCGTTTCTCCAGGGGTTGATTCCTTTTCCATTCTCTGCAACCATCGTTTGTTGGTTTTTTTCAATTCACCAGCTGTGTCCCGTAAGGTTCTGATGGTTTTCTGGAAAGCAGGATCCCTGGGTTAAGAATGGGGAAGTGTCCCCTAGAGTTTCACCCTTTTTTCCCCGAGCGAATGTGGTTTGCCTCAAAAGGAACGTTTTGAGGCCCCAGGATTCCTCTGGACTCCTCTGTCCCCAAGATGCTCTTACTCGGCTCCATGGAAAAGAACCGAGCAACACAAGTGCTTTGGAGATGTTCACCTTCTCCCAGTGTTCATTGCTCACGAGTTCCGGGAACAAACGCCGGAGCCGACCTTGCCCGTCCAGCCCAAACCACAGAGCTGCGGGAAATGAAGTATCTGGAGGTTTGGATATCAATGTCTAGTCAAGTATTAAATGGGCAGTGGTAGTGCGCGCTGGTAGTGGTAGCGGCAGTGGTGGAAGTTGTTGTAGGGCTAGTGGTGGCAGTAGCAGTGGCAGTGGTAATAGTGGTAGTGGCAGTGGCAGTGGTAGTAGTTGCAGTGGCAGTGGTAGTAGTTGCAGTGGCAGTGGTAGTGGCAGTGGCAGTGGCAGTGGCAGTGGCAGTGGCAGTGGCAGTGGTAGTAGTTGCAGTGGCAGTGGTAGTGGCAGTGTCAGTGGCAGTGGCAGTGGCAGTGGTAGTGGCAGTGGCAGTGGCAATGGTAATAGTAATAGTGGCAGTGGCAGTGGCAGTGGCAGTGGCAGTGGTAGTGGCAGTGGCAGTGGTAATAGTGGTAGTGGCAGTGGTAGTGGCAGTGGTAGTGGCAGTGGTAGTGGCAGTGGTAGTGGCAGTGGTAGTGGCAGTGGTAGTGGCAGTGGTAGTGGCAGTGGTAGTAGTCGCAGTGGCAGTGGTAGTGGCAGTGGCAGTGGCAGTGGCAGTGGTAATAGTGGTAGTGGCAGTGGCAGTAGTAGTGGCAGTGGTAATCGTGATAGTGGCAGTGGCAGCGGCAGTGGCAGTGGCAGTGGCAGTGGTAATAGTGGTAGTGGCAGTGGTAGTGGCAGTGACAGTGGCAGTGGCAGTGGCAGTAGCAGTGGCAGTGGTAATAGTAATAGTGGCAGTGGCAGTGGTAGTGGTAGTGGCAGTGGTAGTAGTTGCAGTGGCAGTGGTAGTGGCAGTGGCAGTGGCAGTGGCAGTGGCAGTGGCAGTGGCAGTGGTAGTAGTTGCAGTGGCAGTGGTAGTGGCAGTGGCAGTGGCAGTGGCAGTGGCAGTGGTAGTGGCAGTGGCAGTGGCAGTGGGAATAGTCATAGTGGCAGTGGCAGTGGTGGCAGTGGCAGTGGTAATAGTGGTAGTGGCAGTGGCAGTGGCAGTGGTAGTAGTTGCAGTGGTAGTGGCAGTGGCAGTGGCAGTGCCAGTGGCAGTAGTGCAGTGGCAGTGGTAGTGGCAGTGGCAGTGGCAGTGGCAGTGGCAGTGGTAGTGGCAGTGGCAGTGGCAGTGGCAATAGTAATAGTGGCAGTGGCAGTGGCAGTGGTAGTGGCAGTGGTAATAGTGGTAGTGGCAGCGGCACTGGCAGTGGCAGTGGCAGTGGTAATAGTGGCAGTTGGTAGTGGCAGTGGCAGTGGCAGTGGCAGTGGCAATAGTGGCAGTGGTAGTGGCAGTGGCAGTGGCAGTGGTAATAGTGGCAGTTGGTAGTGGCAGTGGCAGCGGCAGTGGTAATAGTGGAAGTGGCAGTGGCAGTGGCAGTAGTAGTGGCAGTGGCAGTAGTAGTGGCAGTGGCAGTGGCAGCGGCAGTGGCAGTGGTAATAGTGGTAGTGGCAGTGGTAGTGGTAGTGGCAGTGGCAGTGGCAGTGGCAGTGGCGGTGGCAGTGGCAGTCGCAGTGGCCATGGCATTGGCAGTGGCAGTGGCAAGGGTTAGTGGTCAGTGGCAGTGGCAGTGGCAGTGGCAGTGGCAGTGGCACGGGCAGTGAAAGTCGTGGCAGCGCCAGCGCCAGCGCCAGCGCCAGCGGCAGTGGCAGTGGCAGTGGTGGCAGTGGCAGTGGTGGAAGTTGTTGTAGGGCTAGTGGTGGCAGTGGCAGTGGCAGTGGCAGTGGTAGTGGCAGTGGCAGTGGTAATTGTTGCAGTGGCAGTGGCAGTGGCAGTGGCAGTGGTAATAGTGGTAGTGGCAGTGGCAGTGGCAGTGGCAGTGGCAGTAGTAGTGGCAGTGGTAATAGTAATAGTGGCAGTGGCAGTGGCAGTGGCAGTGGTAATAGTGGTAGTGGCAGTGGCAGTGGCAGTGGCAGTGGTAATAGTGGTAGTAGTGGCAGTCGTAATAGTGGCAGTGACAGTGGCAGTGGCAGTCGTAGTGGCAGTGGTAATAGTAATAGTGGCAGTGGCAGTGGCAGTAGTAGTGGCAGTGGTAATAGTAATAGTGGCAGTGGCAGTGGCATGGTAATAGTGGCAGTGGCAGCGGCAGTGGCAGTGGCAGTGGTAATAGTGGTAGTGGCAGTGGCAGTGGTAGTGGTAGTGGCAGTGGCAGTGGCAGTAGTAGTGGCAGTGGTCATGGTAATAGTGGCAGTGGCAGTGGTAGTGGCAGTGGCAGTGGTAATAGTAATAGTGGCAGTGGCAGTGGCAGTAGTAGTCGCAGTGCTAATAGTGATAGTGGCAGTGGCAGTGGCAGTGGTAATAGTGGTAGTGGCAGTGGTAGTGGCAGTGGCGTGGCAGTGGCAGTAGTAGTGGAAGCGGAGTGGCAATAGTAATAGTGGTGGCAGTGGCAGTAGTAGTGGCAGTGGTAGTGGCAGTGGCAATAGTAATAGTGGCAGTGGCAGTGGCAGTAGTAGTGGCAGTGGCAGTAGTAGTGGCAGTGGCAGTGGCAGCGGCAGTGGCAGTGGTAATAGTGGCAGTTGGTAGTGGCAGTGGCAGTGGCAGCGGCAATGGGCAGTCGCAATAGTGGCAGTGGCAGTGGCAGTGGCAGTGGCAGTGGTAATAGTGGCAGTTGGTAGTGGCAGTGGCAGTGGCAGTGGCAGTGGCAGTGGTAATAGTGGCAGTTAGTGGTAATAGTGGTAGTGGCAGTGGCAGTGGCAATAGTGGCAGTGGCAGTGGCAGTGGCAGTGGCAGTGGTAATAGTGGCAGTTGGTAGTGGCAGTGGCAGTGGTAATAGTGGCAGTTGGTAGTGGCAGTGGCAGTGGCAGTGGTAATAGTGGCAGTTGGGTAGCGGCAGTGGTAATACTGGCAGTAATAGTGGCAGTTGGTAGTGGCAGTGGCAGTGGCAGGCAGTTGGTAGTGGCAGTGGCAGTGGTAATAGTGGCAGTTGGTAGTGGCAGTGGCAATGGTAATAGTGGCAGTTGGTAGTGGCAGTGGCAGTGGCAGTGGTAATAGTGGCAGTTGGTAGTGGCAGTGGCAGTGGTAATAGTGGCAGTTGGTAGCGGCAGTGGCAGTGGCAGTGGTAATAGTGGCAGTTGGTAGTGGCAGTGGCAGTGGCAGTGGTAATAGTGGCAGTTGGTAGTGGCAGTGGCAGTGGCAGTGGTAATAGTGGCAGTTGGTAGCGGCAGTGGCAGTGGCAGTGGGAATAGTGGCAGTTGGTAGTGGCAGTGGCAGGGGTAATAGGCAATGGTAATAGTGGCAGTTGGTAGTGGCAGTGGCAGTGGCAGTGGTAATAGTGGCAGTTGGTAGTGGCAGTGGCAGTGGTAATAGTGGCAGTTGGTAGTGGCAGTGGCAGTGGCAGTGGTAATAGTGGCAGTTGGTAGTGGCAGTGGCAGTGGCAGTGGTAATAGTGGCAGTTGGTAGTGGCAGTGGCAGTGGTAATAGTGGCAGTTGGTAGTGGCAGTGGCAGTGGCAGTGGTAATAGTGGCAGTTGGTAGTGGCAGTGGCAGTGGCAGTGGTAATAGTGGCAGTTGGTAGTGGCAGTGGCAGTGGCAGTGGTAATAGTGGCAGTTGGTAGTGGCAGTGGCAGTGGCAGTGGCAATAGTGGCAGTTGGTAGTGGCAGTGGCAGTGGCAGTGGTAATAGTGGCAGTTGGTAGTGGCAGTGGCAGTGGCAGTGGTAATAGTGGCAGTTGGTAGTGGCAGTGGCAGTAGTTATACGTAGTTGTTTCCCTATAGGACTCACCTGGCAACCGGCAAACACCCCTCGCCTTGGCTGAGCCGAGAGCCTTCCAGATCGTCTGGAGCCGCCAGTCCTCCGACCTTAGCCCAAGAGCGCTCGGTACATCCAGCTACCCTCAATTGGTGGATTGGCCAATCTTGTTTATGCGTTGTTGGCAATTTGCTTCCCAGACCAATATCTCAGATTCACATTCTTCCTAGAGGTCACTCGTGCTGCACCTGTCTTTTCGGCTGTTCTGTCCGTTTGTATATTTTCAGCTTTGGCTTGGTTGTTTGGTGGTTGAGGATGGGGTTCTCCATTTATTCTCTGCAAGAGCAGAGAGGGTTCAAATCCAAACCCAACAGGTCGTCTTCTCTCAATGGATGTCTAAGTGCTTTCATCGGACATATTTGGGATGTATAGATGACTAATTAACCCATGCGTCAATTCCCATTTGCCTGACCCACAACAAGGGACACAGAAAATCAGATGTTCAAATACTGTGGCAAGCAAAATCGTCTACCCTACAATCTACCAATGCTCATTGACCAGCAGCTACATGGTGAACAATAACATGTCTACTTGAACCAGACCGCCCAAGGGTCCAGGACTCGTGGTGAAAAACGAGACTGGTTAACAAAGGTGACTTCCTTGGAGTGTGTCTGTTGTAGGGGAACCCCCAAACGTGGCTCCGGGATTCCTTTTGAATTCCCTTTCAAACCGCCATGAAAGAGATCATTTTGATCTCTTATTCATCAACCACAGTTTATTTATAGGGGGGTGTTCCCCTCGAAAAGAGATGATTCCCCACTAAACCCAAGGACACTCCCTTATAAATAAACCGGGGCGGATTAATACGGGGTCAGGGTTGTGGGATGAAGGGGTTTATCCCCCACGTCTGTGATCTTCATGTTGGGGGTTGGTCTTTGTGAAGCCCTTTTTGTTGTATCACAGAAGCGGATTCCATTTCTCAAACATTGCCAACTCCAAAAAGACGACCAGCCCCCCTTTTGCGCTTCGTCAACCCCTCGGGGTGCCCGGGCGTCCTTCTCGCCGGCTCCAGGCCGCCGCCCAGCGCGGCGCTCACGAGGCCCGTGGCGACTGAGGCCGGTCGACTCGGTAGGACGGAATCGGGAAGATACCTCGGTTGCTTTCTGCTCCCCTGCCAAAAGTTTAACTTAGTGGTTCAACAAAAAAAACGATTAGTTGCAAAAAGCTAAAGTGCTAACATCCAAGCAAAATGCACCAAAGTTACCACTTGATGTGTGGGCCTACCGCGCCAACCGGTCGCTTTCTATTTCGGCTTCCACGTCTCCAGTCGAGGCTGGTAAAATCTTACTTCAGGTTCCCCGACTTCGCCAACCCCAAAAAGCTTGCTTGGGAGCTGCGAAGTCCCTGCGCACTCGCCAACCGCGAGCTACCAATCTCGGATCTGGAGGAGCAAAGGTCCTGAAGCAGAGACTTTTCATAGAAGCGTCAAAAGGAAAGCGCCAAGCTGAGAAAAAGTAGGTCTTCGAAGAAAGCAGCGAGAGGGAGACGTACCCTTCCCATGTTCAGAAGAACTGGAGGATCCGAAGCTCGGCGTCGTTCATCCCTGCGGACCCAGGTCCAGTTCGTAGAGGCTATAACCAGAGAAACCGCCACTCGGGTCTTGCTTGGTTTTAAAGGGACGCTGAATGGAAACTAACCATTTCTTGGGAGCCCCCTGACAACAGACACCCACTTGAGTCACTTGAGGGTAAAGTTGGGGAATCCAATTCGCTACTTGCCCACAGACACTCATCTGCTCACCCTCGAAGCCCAGGGTTCCAAAAAGAAAGCCGTTTCCTCCAAATACCTGACTAGGTTGGAACTCAGGCCTCAAAGAAAGCTGCGAGTTCTAAGATCCTGTAACCTTCGATTTGAAGCAAGAATAGGGTGTGTCTTCTTTAGAGCCACCGAAAAGCTGGTTGTCCTTTTGGTTTCCCTTCAAAACCACAAAAAGGGAACCTCCAAAACAGACACACCCAGTCGTTCGCCGACCGAAAAACCTAGGCTGTTCAAGATCTAGACCCAAGAAAACGGAAGACCCAGCTCTCATCCTTCCTTTTCAACTCCGACTCAAACCCAAATAGCTTAAAGGGTTGAAAACAGACCCCAAGTCTCCACAGGGTTCCATTTGTTTGATGCAAGGTAGGCTGCAAGCCCCAAAAGTCGTTGAAACCCCTGGGTTTAAGTCCATCTTCAAAATCAGGGATCCTTACATCCTACACCTGAACATTGCCTTGTAAATGGCGGTTTCCCCTTTATTTGTGTGGAACAAGCCATGTTTCAAATGGTTGCAACATGTATTTGTTAAGGAGCCCTGTCGAAACTTCGCACGAAACCCCGACTGGTCCCACCATGCCCTCCTCCCCCGACTGCTCCGCCTGGATCTTTGCTCCTCCTCTGCGCTTTCTCCCCGCTGTCTTCGATGCCCTGCAGCTGCCGCCTCACTTCGCTGGTGCCACGACCACCCGGGCTGTGAAATTCGAAAAGACCCCCAACACACGGGTTTGTAGATTCCTTCCAATCAAAACCGGGGGTTTGTGAAATCTATGACTTCCGGGGTTGGAATCCCTTGTAGAGTGGCCATATAGTGGCTGCAAATTTCAGCAATCGAAAAGATTTATGGTTTGGGGGACTACCAACTACCGTCTTAGAGCCCAAATAAGCCCATAGCCCCGAAAGCACCGGAACCCCCTACACCCTAAACACTCCCTGAAAGTTGCCCCACCCCAGAGCCGATCCGGGCCTATCGACCCCGCAGCTTTCAGCTGTTAAGGGAATGACACCTTTGGTGGGGAAATGAGTATGTCTCATAGGAAACCATTCCAGGTTGGTGTTCCAGACTTGGACCGCGAAAAGTGTTGCGCGTTTGCTGATGAAAAGGGAATTTGAAAAAACTGTCAAAGCGTGAGTTGAGGGCCTGAAATAAGTGCGGGGAACTTTTTTTTAGCCCAGCTAAGTGGTCAAATAAGGCAACTGTTAGTTACTCAGACTTAGCCCCCTTTCACCCTTTTCTGGGCCCTTCCATGGAGGCTCTCAGGATCCATATGGAAGTCGAAACATCCGGTCCAAGACGTGGGGAGGCCTTTTGGACAATGTTCGACGCTTGTGGTTGTCCTTTTGCCAGACGGTTGCCTAACCTTCCTGCCCCTTTTGCTCTTTCGTGTTTACGCCAGGAAAACCCCGAACGGGGGGGGTATGTGTCAAAATCGGGGGACCCACAAAATAGCGGTGGTCCTTTTGACTTCCCATCCTGCAACCGAAATCCATGTGGGGGCCCTCCATGCCCCTAATTAAACCTTTCCGCGGTCCGAGGCACGCAAGGCGCCGCAGCCTCAAGACCTCGGTGGGCATGAGGGGCAAACGAAAAGGTCCAATTCCACAATTTGGACCCCAAAGCCTTTGATCTGAACTGGGTCACAAAGGGTCCCCCCTCTTCCCCCCAAAAAAAGCATGCAGCATGATCCCCTTTTTGAATACCCTCAAAGGGGTTGCCTCCACCTGGCATGTGGCCCCCAAGATGGGCAAATGCTCTTCGCACATCTCTCACACTGCATATTCAACACACATCAGGTGAGGTTATGGTTGCAGCCATGGCTACATTTTAAGCTGCCAAACAATTGGCGACCACCTAAGTCGGGAGCCTAGCAATATCATGGACCCTTCTGGGATTGAACAACAAGGTAAGAGGAACCAACCGCTGACGGCGACACCAACCAGACATGTCAACGACATTTCCGGGCCGGCGACCAACAAGGACCTTTGGGTCCGAATTGCTCGTGACAAACCTGCGGACCTTTGGCTAGTATTTATGACCTCAGGCTACAGAAGCCACCAGTACCCCTTGCTTGCTCGAACCGATCCAAATCTGGGTGTATCTGGATCGAACCATTCACCGAGAAGGGACTGAAAGGAGCCTTCCATCCTGCGGTCGCAAACCAGCCACGCAATACTTTTGATTTGAGAGCACGAATTTGCACTTGTTCCATATCACGCAACAGGGTATTTGTTTGTCGACGTTTTGAAGGTGCCAAAAGACAAATACATGATTGTATATGTTTCTGACTTTATTTGCCGCATGGTTCCCACCCCCTCATTCTAAGTATGAAGGCCCTTATGGTACACGTTTGGTTCTGACGCCAAGCGTGTTATTCCGATGCAACGTGAGCATCGGCAACGTGATCTTGCCATGTACCACCATGCAGACAAGGAGAGGTTTCGATGTAGTCCCAACGGCTGGCACGTGGCCAATGGTCTCGATCGGAGTCCGCAACCTTTGGGTCGGAGACCACAGCCAACAAAGCCAACCTGCCAGCCTACAGATGTTCGGACCACAGGATCTTTGGCTCAGTTTTTCTGGCCCAGGTGGCTTCCGGGGACTCTGGGCAGCTGCAACCTGGGGGTCTTGCGGAGATCCCCACAAAGTAGGCCAGTCCCCTCGTAAAAAACACACAAACACACAGAAAAAGGAAAAACAACAACAACAGCCATACGCACGCAGTACCACACACACACACACACACCTACCTATCCCACCAAACCCCCGGCTTCGACTTCACTCGCCGCGGCGCCAGCGGCTCGGAGCGCGATTCGGAGCCGCGCAACGCCGCCTCGGCGACGGGAGCGGCCATCGGCAAAGGACAGCAACGAAAAATGAGGCGAAAGCCAACCAAATGGCCGTGGGTCAAAACCAAGGGCATCCCATTTTAGGGCGCATTTTAGAACCCATTTTAGTGGGGATTGCGATGTTCACTGGGGGTACGGGATTTTGACCCATGGCCAAATGCAACACAGCCAAGCAACAAAACGACCAGCCAGCCAGCCAGCCAGCCAGCCAGCCAGCCAGCCAAGCAAGCAAGCAAGCAAGCAAGCAAGCAAACAAGCAAGCAAGCAAGCAAGCAAGCAAGCAAGCAACAAAGCATCCAGCCGACAAGCAGGCAAACAGACAAGCAGAGTTGCTTTAGGTACCTACCTTTGCCCCTGCTTGTTGGCAAATGTTGATTGCAAGTCATACGACACTACAACATTTGCAACATGGTGCAGGTACCGACAGATGCACAGCACACGCTGGCCTGTCACACAGGCGGGCTGGGTTGGGGGGGGGTCCGGGGATGATAAGGGGGGTGGCAATGGCCTAGGGATTGCAGCTCACCAGCCAACATGGAGGGAACAACTCCCTTGTTTTGCCACATGGCTGTTGCATCAATGGCTCGACACAGTTTGTGCAGTAAGCAACAGCTGCGCGCTTTGCAAGTTTGAGTATCAAAGACACTTCGCAAGGGCCTTTCTCCAATTCGCAGTAATCTGCAGCTTTGCACCTCGAAACATGTTGCACAGTCAGTCAATCAGACAGCCAGTGAGTCACTCTGGCATTCAGTCGGTGAGTCAGTCATTCCGACATTCAGTTTGATGATTTGTGTTTCTTTGTTTCTTTGTTTCTTTGTCCATTTGCCGATTTCTGTCATTTCTGTTACTTCTTTTTCTTACTTTTGTTTGGTTGAGGGTTCCCTACATGTCCCCACGTGGTTTCAACAATCACCTTTTGCCAACTTTAATTTAAGTGAGTTTTCCTTTTAGACCTCAAGCCCTGCGATGTTCCATTGTTTAAAGCATGGTCCCCACGCCTATAGGAGCCCCTGCGTTCCCGGGAGCAGCTGTCGCAGAAAACAATTTTAAGAATTGCAACCCCACAAATGTTGCTAGAAAAACACGACACGTCTGCCATTTGCACCTATCTGCGTCAGCGTTTGCCCACTGACTCACTCACTCACTCACTGTCACTCGCTCGCTCGCAAGCAAGCAAGCAAACACGCAAGCAAGCAAACAAACAACGAGACAGACCGAAAGACACTGAAAAACAAACAAGCAAGTTTGACAAACAACAAACAAATGAAACAAGAAATCAAGAAACAAGGAAACAACAAGATGGAGAGTAAGACAAACAAACAGCAACAAGTCAGCCAGTGTCTGTCGTGTGTGGTGGCTTCAGCAACGTAGTTCCTGAATCATTTGAAGTCTGTCGAGAGGGAACTGCAAAAAACACGACATAAATTGGCAACCTAAGAAAGGCTCGGGATGCCCTGCAGATGAACATGGAGCCCAATCAAAAACGAGCCTAGGGGGATTCATGGTGGCTGGCCCATGGAAGCCCTTGAAAACTGGGAAAAGGCCATTTGGCCGCGTCCCTTTTGGGTTGCTCGCAGCTTCAAAGAGAACCCCGGGAAAAAAAAAAAAAAACAGATCTTGGGGGCCCAACCGTACCAAGGACACATTGAGACACACACCCAAGGGCCCAAGGCGCCGCGGAACTCCAGCGACACTTGGCCATGGGTCAAAATCCAAAACGTACCTTTCGTGAACATCCGATTCCATCCCCACTAAAACAAAGCCCAAAATCGGTGGCGAATTCACCTACCCCAAAATGGGATGCCATTGGTTTTGACATTTTGACCCACAGCCACTTGACTGTTGCCCAAGGAACTTCCAGCACTTGCATGGCCGAGACGGACAAGGCCTCTCATTCAGCTCGCTCGGTGTCCCATCGATTCGGCCGAAGTGGTTGAGCTGTTTTGAAGGCTCCATACCCGGCTTTGGGGTGGGTTTGTCACGGTCCAGCCATGTGTCCAACCTTGCAGCATCACCCCAACTCAACTTTTGAAGAGCCCAACAGCTGATATGCTCAAAACCTCCAAAAGGGAAAAATGCAGGGAACCCTGCCAAAGGGTTGAGAAAAAGGAAAGCCATCTTCTTCTTCTTCGTTTTTTTTTGGGGGGGGGGGGGTACCCGCTATGTTCCCAAACATGCCCTTCGTAACCAAACATGTTCCTTTCAGTATTTAGCAGCTGAAGCCACTTGGTTCCCGATTTCCAGCTGAAGCCACTGGGCTTTAAGCATCTCTAAAACCTGAAAGCCGAGAGGTCCAGTCGGACGTTGGCAAATCTGGAAAAGCAGGTGACCTCTATATGGGTGAATCCTCTTTTATCGGACCGGCCCCCCCCCAAAAAAAAATGGAAAAAAAGGAGAAAACATGGTTCTCCTTCTTGGTTTGCCTTGAACAACCAACCCCATTTGTGAGGTACCACACGCAAAAGCATCCACCGGACCTTTTGCAGAAGCCTTGGTCAAACCTGCCAAGCCCCAAGGGCGCCGCTGGGTGTGGAACGGTCCTCCAACTAACTTGGCCCGCCGAACACGTATACAAAACAACATCTCTACTCTTGGTATGGTAGCAAAAAAACTGTGTTTTTTGCAGACCTCCAGTAAAAATGAACAGAACCAAAAAACTAAAAACCTAAAAAAACATGCCAAGAACAGTGAAGACAAAAACATATTACCCTCCCTCCCAGTGACATAGCTTCTGTGGGGGGGGCACCTATGAAACTCTTCTTGACGGGACCCCGTGTCAGGTGCCATGTCAGTGGAAGGAAGGGTAGATGCTGTTTCTTGTTCAGCTTTCAGTCATTTTGAAGGAGACCCCAGCTAAAGGCATTTGGAGGGCCACATCCATCGAAGCGAATCCTGAAAGAAAAAAAAGAGGTTCAAGCTGGGAAGAACCAAACTCAAAGGAAAGATAAGGAAGAGACCACTCGTGTGCCTGGTAGTTCATTTTGAAGGGACGTCCATCAAAAAGGTTGAAAAAAGGAGTTGCCACCTGGGTGTTTGGGTTGACAAGTCCATCTTTTGGGTGTGGCAAACACACTGGACCCTCGAACCATCCGCAAAAGTTGGAGATCTCACAAATTGCTCAGGGTAGGCGCCCATAGGGCTTGTCTCAAATTCGGAACCTTCAGGAAGGGTGATCCCTTTGGCTTCCATTTAGCGCTAACCCCGCGTTAATTAACCCCAGTTCATGAATAGGGAGACGTGTTCCTCTGCCAAAAACAAAAAAATGATTCCCCACTAAACCCAGGGATACCCCCCCCCCTGTAATAAACTGGGGTTGATGAATATGGGGTTCCATTTACATTTAACCCAACCCCAATTTGTCTCAAAATAGGGGCTACCCAACAAAGATGGATTCCCTTTTCGTTCCTTTTGGCTTCCCTTTACACCACCAGCCCCAAGAGTGGCACCAAAACACAATGGCACCACCTCCCTAACCAACAAACAAAAAGTGGGTGATGTTGACCCCGGAGTTTTTAAACCCCTCGTTGATTCATAGGGGGGTGTCCCGTCCCGGATTCATCACGTTTCCACCCCCAAAATAATCAACCAGGGGCTTATTCATCTCGGGTCAACATTAACCCACTGAGGCTACAACAATGGCACCACCTCCCTTTCAACCAACAAACAAAAGGTGCGCAGCCCACTAAAAAAAAACAGCGGGCCATCCACTCAGGAGAAGAAGAAAAAAAGAAAACGAGCCGCTCCTTCGGCTCGATTTCGGCATCTCCGCCTCCTCCAGCTCCTGCGCCGCCAGCTGTGGCTCCTCCGGCAGCAGCTCCGCGCGCGTCAGCCGCAGCACGTCCTCGGCTCCGAACGAGCGCTCTGCGGCCCAGGGCACCGCCGCTTGAGGTTCGAACCCCCAAGGGCCAAGGGAAGCCCCAGGAAAACCGAAAGAAACCCCAGGGAAACCAAGAAGGGAAACCCAACAAAACCCCAAGGGGTTGAGACAAAAACCAAGGCCGAAAAGGAAAATGGAAAGAGCGCCCAGCCGAGAGAAAAACCAAACCAAGAAAGGCCGAATCACAGAGCCTTCAGCATGCTTTGCCTCACCGATGGCCAACCTTCGATGCCAACCTATGAGGCACTGTGAACCTTCGACCTCCATTTGCGGATGTCGCTTGGACAAAAGTATATAAATATATGTCCAGTAGTCATGGAGTCATGGATTTCCCCTTTACCAACGCAGAGAAGAACAGATCTTCTGCAGCAAACGGAAGCTGAAACTCATGAGGATCACGGCCCATAGTGCTTTAGGGAGCCGGATCGCCTTGAGAATTCGAGGTCGGATCCGAAAAAAATGGCCAGGCGCCCAGGTTGGGTCCCAAAACTCGGGTGCGAGTATTCCGCGACGAACCTTGAGGATCCCCTGGACCTTCGTTGGGCTGCTTTTCAGGTTTCCCTTGCTTCCCTTTGAGCAACATTTGCTGGGTTTAAGGGGGGCAGTTGGAAAAAGCTCATTCGACGCGTCGTCCCCCTCTTTCGGAACAACACACCAGAAAGAGGGGACGGAAGAACGTGGACAAAACGGAAGAACCTAAAAACAATTGCCTTAAGGCTCATGACCTCTTCCTTGAAGCACGACCTTTCAAAGCCTTGTTGGGCCCAAAAAAACATCGGGAGCCTTAGGGTGGGAAACCAAACCAACCCAAACCCAACCCAAACCCAACCCAACCAACCAGGGGGGGCAATATGCGGAAAAACCAACGGCGCCACCCATCGATCTTACAAGTGGCGCGACCGTCCAGCGCCGCCTCGGCGAGGCGCTGGCCCAGGTCCAGGTCTAAAGTCCTGTGCGGGGGGGGGGGGGGGATTTTCGAGGTCCGGTGGTGCTTTGAGTTGGTTAGGAACACCAAAACACTTCTTTTTTTCTCCCCGGAAGGGGGGGGGGTCGTTGTTTTTTTTTGGGAGGGGGGAGGGCCATTTTTTGGGGGGGAAGGGGGGGGGGGTGGCGTTGGTTGGTCCAATCGAAAACCTAAAAGACGGAGGCCCCGCCATTTTGGGGGTCTCCCAGAAAGAACGCAGGAACGGAATGAGCCCGAGAGAAACCAGCCCACTGGTGGCTTCCTTTAAGGGAATCAGCTTCATTCCCAGCACCTTGGGTCATTCTGAGAAGCCGCAGACCTGAGTCGTCCGAGACGAGTTTTGCCTCTGCCAGCGTCTCTTTCCGAGCCATGTCCATTTTTGGAACCTCCACAAAATCCGCCAGTAAATTGATCAACCTTCAAAAGGGGAAAGTCCAGTGACCCCTGCAAAAGCGCCTCATTTTTTGAGGGCTGGCTTTTGGAAGCCCATGCTTTGAGGTCAATGATTGAAGTTGTCTCTTGGGGAAAACATTTTTTTCTTTTGGGGGGGGGCCTAAGTTTAATGTAAGAGAAGCCATATTGGCGTTCTCCAGATTCTTTGAGGGTTGTTCCAAAGGAAAACCAAAAGCAACATGTTCTTTTGAGGTTGGTAAGGGACACAAAAGCGAACACCAGAATCCATTTTGCGGTTCCCTGATTTCAAGACAAACCCTTCTTGTGGCTTGTTGAGGTGGTACTTGGTTTCAACAGCAAGCCAAAGGGCATGAGAAAGCAGTTGTCGGGGGGGGCTGGAACCTTGTTCTCCTGAGGCATGTTTTTGATTGGTACCAAAAACAAAATCCATCCAAATCCCTTTGACACAGGCTTGTGCTTACGGAGCTGTGGGAAAGCGAGAGGAACCCGAAGCCCATTTGGGGGGCTTAGCCCCCATTTGGGTGTGTCTAAAAACGTGGCCCGCAAAACCGCTTGCCTCTTTTAAGCATTCTTCAAGCCATGGAAGCAGTTCTTGAACTGATGCCCTCGCCATATTGCAAGTAAACCAACACACATGTCCAACCGTGTTCCCTATGCAACCGTACGGGCTGGTTTTCGTTGTGTGTACCAACGGTTGTTTTGGCTCGGGAAACCAAACGGAAAACACAAAAACAATAACAACAACGAACAAAAAACGGGGGAAACCGGAGAATAATAATAATAAGAAGAATAATCATAATAATAATAATGATAATGATAATAATAACAACATTCGTTGTAAAAAAAGAAAAGGCCCACCTGGCGGCCAGCAGCTCACAGGCCTCCAGCAGCGCCTGGAAGCCAAAGCGCTTCGAGTCCAAGTCTTCCGCAAGGCTCCGGCGGTCTTTGCTTGGGAAAGTGGCTTGCTTTGGTTTGGTTGGCTTTGGTTTTAATCCCGGTTTGCTTTGGTGCGCTAAGGTTGCGATCCCCTTTGTTGAGAACACCCCCGATAGAGATGTGTTTGCATCTTTGGGCAGAACCCCGGGGTTCTGGGTTGAGACATGGCCGAACATGGGCCGCTTCGGGTCTTTCTGTACCAAAAGATGCCATCTCAAGCCCTGCTTGGGGTGTCTCTTTCTTGGGATACCTGTCTTGTGGCTGCTTTAGCAGGAAACCCAAAAGGAACTCCACCGTTTTGGGGGCCCCCCAACAAAAAGACACACCCAGATTTGTTTTGGATGCCGAATTTACTTGTACACATTTGTGTTTGGGAAGCCACACTTGGGGCAGCCATCTGGTCTAGACCGGGTTCGTTTGAGAGAGTTTGGACCCTCCAACTGGCGCAATGGGCAAAGAACTCCTGCGCTTGCGGGAAGGTTGGGGATCCAACTCATGGCGCGGTGTGGCAAAAGGCACCAACGGTGTCGCTACCGCGTCTAACAAAGCAGGTAGCTTGCCTGCTGAAAGTTTTGCGCGTGTGATCCATATACCACGCTGTCTTCTTGTTGCCCCGAAGTTGAGGCGAACTAGAAGTACCATCGGCAGTTCTGCCTCGGATTCAGTTAAGCAACTGCTTAAGCAGACGGCCGAAAGGGCCCGCCTGGCTGCATCACCGTCTCATGATAAGACCCAAAGCATCCTCTGTGAGTCCTAATTCTTATAATATATGGGAGCGGCCGCGCCAAAGGAATGCCGAAGGTACTTTTGATCTATCTCCGAGCTCGAAGCACAAAACCTGAGGATACATTGGCCGCAGGGCTCCGTGGTAGATTTCCATGATCAATCCTAGGGTCTGATAGAATCACGATTCCTGAAGGTTCCTAAGTGACCTTTGGCCGAACCCATTTTGGCCAAGAACCGAGTTTTATGGAATTCTCGCATGAGGATCGATTTTCAGACTCCCTCAAACTCCCATTCTAATCCTACTAAGCTCTAGTATCATCGTTGGCGAAGTTTGGAAGCTGCCTTGGACCCCATGTCGCGCTTTTGGACAGCAAAGGCTCAAAAAGACCCTCTCAAACATCACGCCGCTAGAAAACCTCCCAAGGCGAGTTCAAACCTCAAGAGGTGTTCGAAATCTAGTGGAGCCCGGCAAGACCCCAGACCCGATGTCCATACATTAGAAAAGATGGCTCTCCTGTTGTTGGCCGCCACTAGAAATCTAGGGGGTTCCCATTCTTTTCAACCATCGTTCTTTTCGAAAACCGGATCCGTTTTCCCTGGGTTTCCGGAGGTCTTCTAGAAAGATTCGGATCCCTGGGTTAAGAATGGAATCGGAAGGTATCCCTAGAAAAAACGAGGAAACCGCCGGGGGTACTGGGCCTTCTCGAGGGAGCGAAGGCGCTTGTCGTCGTCCAGGATGGCGCGGTGCAGCGCGAAGATGCAGTCCTCCACCTGCGACGGCACAAAACCAGCCGGGTCCCAAGAGCTGCTTGTTGAGCGGTTGGGACTTTTTGATATGGGAAGCAGTTAGGTGGATAGGTTGTAACTGTTTTTTTGTTTTTCAAAGATTTAGCTTGCCTATAAGAATCGCTGCACAAGGAGCTGCATAAGGAGCTTTCAGAAGCCTTAAAAGGAGCTACAAGCAGCTGTGAGCAGTTGGGACTTTGCACATGGGGAGAAGCAGTTGGGGGGTGCTGGATAGGTTTGTTCGTCAAACCTCCGTACAGCATGTTCTATGGGTGCTTCTTTTTGGAGGGTACCCCTTTGTTGTTGTCAAAAAAAAAACGCCATTCTAGTGGGTCCCCTAAACACGATGAGCCACCCCTCCTCTCCAAATCAACTACAAGTAATATTGTCTGTTGCTCCTATGGGCGTGAGCTTTAATAGGGGACCCTTTGGCAGGTCATGAGAATTCAAGGGATTAATGTCGCCGAACCACTGTGGAGGTGGTTCCCGATCAAAATTCAGAGCCATAATATCATAGCCACAATAGGGGGCTAACCCATGTTGCATGATGTTGCATGTTGGCGGGGCTAACCCCCCAAATACCCCAGTTGCTATGGTATAGTGTGTCACCTTTACTTTCGGCACTTGCCTCTTGGTTTTGAAGGCTCTCAAACAAATTGGCGCTGTTTTGGGCTCCGGGTGAATCTGCAATTTTTGAAGGGGCCCCCAAAAACCCTGGAGACGAGTCCTTTCATTCCCTGGATCAATATCCAGGAGTCACTGACATTAAAAGGATTGCTATAATATGTAAGACTTGTTTGCCAAGTTTACCGCAGCTGGTGCTTGCCATCATATATAGTAATCTCCGCCATGCACGAGGCGGTCCTCCGTCTTCGACTCTCTGCTGACCCACCTGAAAATGAAACCACCTTTTTGGTTGATGTTGAAGGGAAACGCCTCCACAACAAGTGGAAAGAAGGCAACACCAACCACTGAATCGCACACAGGAACAAGATTCGGTTTAAAGTATTTCGCCTACCCCATCTAAATGACTGTTGTGAGCGGAGCCCCCCAGTTGAGGGCTGTTCAACTTGGTATGTTGAAGCGGAAGTCCGCTTCTTGGTATCTTTCAGCTTCCTTCTAGTTGGTGGTTTGCAGCCCGGGTGGTTTGGAAGAACCAGGGCTTCAAATCCAGATCCACCAATCCCAGCCACCAATACTTGGGCTTACCTGAATCTTGGTGCACTTTCTGATGGGAGACGGCAACCAAAGCTGCTGGAGTCCTTACGGGGGGGGAGGAGGGGTCAACTTCCCTCTCATTGGTGGTTTGGAGCCCCAGTGGTTTGGTGGTTCAGAAGAGGGGCTTCCCATTTACCCCCTACAAGATCCAGGGCGTCAGATCCAAATTATTCTTCACCAATCCAAACCAACCAGAGGGAAGCTGACTGATTCAGGAACCCTAGGGCTCTCAACTACCCAACCCCCGATAATACCTTACCCCCCGCCCCCCCCTCCCCCACCAGATTCCAGCAAAAAAACCAACAAACAAGAGCCTCCTATCGGGGAAAAAAAGAAGAAACAAAAAATCGAGGAAAAACAACTGGAGAAGAAAAAAACGGGGGGGGGGGGGGGGAAAAAAACCGCTGGCCACCACGAAGGCCATGTTGCGCTGGTGCACGGCGTCCAGGCGCTGCTGGAGGCTCATGGCCTGTCAGAGGAACTCGACGTTTAGCCGAATTCCAGGGGAGCTTCCCTGGGTGTGGGGGTGGCTTGGAGGTTGGTATACAAAAAGAAACGGGTGGTTCTGGACAAAGTCTGGTTTGGTTGGTACTCGAAGGTTTTGTGCACCAACAAAAACAACAAACTGCACCGATCCGCCTTGTCCCAGAGCTGCAGCGTCTCCCCGAAGGGCGACTTCATCTCCTACCGGCGGACCAGAGAGCGGTTGACATGGCAGGAGAGAACGGGAGACCAGGTAGAGTGACACACCTGCTTCGTGCCTGGGAGTTTGGGACACCTGGGATTTGGGACACCTGGGATTTTGGACTTGGATTTTGGACACCTGGGATTTTGTGATTGGTGCTTCTTTCTCTCTTTTCCAATCATGGAAGTGGGTTCCAGTCCCTCAAAATCCTCCATGAAGGTTTCCATGATTGGAAGGAGGGTAAATCCCCATCGGATCCGGCCAAAATGTTCCCAGGATCCCATGCGTAGAGGACAAACAGTTTCTCCCACCGCAATCAAACTTTGCCAAGACACAAAGAGTTACCACTCCAGTGACGCTCGCAGTTTTTGCTGAAACCGCAAGAATGAACGGAAGCTTGCTGGTGCGATAGGTAGGGAATGTGGGAATGACTTCAGGGATTCCCCTAAAGGAAACCTTGACGGATGGTTAAGGGTCACCGAGCACCAGCAAGGAAGTGCAGAACAACAAAGGACTGGGCAGCTGACATTTCCGCAAGCCGGGTGTTGAGAGCTTTTCCGATCCCTGAAAAAGGTGGCAGAAGCCGCACCCAAAAATGCGAAATAGCATATAGGATCATATAGGCATGTATGGCCAGGGTCCGGTGAAAACTCCCTTCGGGTCATGGTCATGGATCCCTCAGCAAGAATTCCCATAGTTATTCATCCCTATCAACTCCGTATATCAAGGAAAGCAGCCGGAACCCTCTGGGTTCTGACAGGAATCAAATGCCTTGCGCAAAGAAAAACCAACTCGGCTCGCGCACGGCGAACACAATTTAAATTGGGGACCAGCTGTTGAGTGGTGAGTGGGCAGGACTCCCTGAGCTAAACCTCCCTAAATGGCTGTGGGTCAACACCAATGGTACCATTTTGGGGTAGGTGCACCCATGTTTGTCTATTTTAATGGGGATTGGGATGTTCACAGGGGAAACGGGGGTTTTGACCCACAGCCAAATGATATCCACCAAAGGAGCCCTTATGAAAATTCGCAAAAACCGGCGTCACCACCAAACGATCCCCTCGCTTCCGCTCCGTCTGCACTTCTACTTCTGCGCGGCCCTTGATGGCACCTCGGAAGAAAAGTTGACGCAAACCGGCCCGACTTAGGCACACACATAGGATGGGAGTACGTTACAGCCAACTCGAGTCATGGATGGCTGATTTTTTCAGCTGGTTCTCCAAGGCAAACTGACGAATACCAAAGATTGCTGGCGAGACCCCTCTGCAAAACGTTCAGATTTGGGTCCAATGGAACTCACGGAATCTCCCAAAAAGTTCGAGTCCAAGAATCCGAGCAAATAGCCATAAAGCATACTCCTTCATAGGCAGGGGGGTCTTTTGCCACCTTTTGTGAGAAAATTGGCGACCCCCTTAAAAAGGAATCCTTCACTACGAAGGGGTCCCCCCTGTTCATAGGAGACTCCTGGATTGCCATGAAGATAGAGGAGCCACAGGCGCAAGGTCAAAGGAAGCTCCGATTCCCACCGGACCAAGGAAGTCATCCAAAAGGAGAGGCCCTGCTTCTTTCTTGCGGAAATCGGGGTGGGATTGGCTTCCGTGAGGAGACACTTGTGTCACCTCGACGTTGTTAGGTTGCTCGAGGGGAAAACTAGCCACCCCCTACCTCAAAAAACTATTCCTGCTTTGAAGGGGTTCTTTGAAGGGTTTGGAGCCCTTTCTGGGCGGGGCGGAGCCCCAATGGTTTTAGCGCCCTTGAGCCAAACTCGTGATGGCTCTTCCTGCACTTCACCCCAAGGCTTCAACCTGCCCCTCAAGCCTGGCATCCAGAAACATGGGCGATGCTCGATCTCACGGATCGACTGCCAAACGACGACAACACGTTGGTGGGTAACAAGGGGAACTCCATCGTCTCTCCTTTGGGGTAGCCTTGCACCCTTTTCCAATTCGCCAGAGCCATCGGACTCCTCAAGCCAATCCAAACCACCAGAGAAGCGTTGCCTGACTGATTCATATTGGGAGCCCCCCTCCAAAATTGGAGAACACGGTCCAGCAAAGTGAGATCCTCAAAATCTTCCTCTAAATTGTGGTTTGAAGGACCACCCCAAAGTATCTTAGAGTGGCCCTCCAAATGCTCGCTTCATCCTGGACATCCGGGGTACAACAAAATGATATGTAAAACAAATATGTCTCTTCGCCTGTTCTATACTTGGCCTACTCAACCAATTGACACCAAAAAAACAAAAAAAAAGAAACAAAAGACATGCGGTGTTCGTTTTAACTTGTCCTTGAAAACCCACGTCAACCTCAAAAAAAAGCCGAGCCGCCCAAAGAGCTGTCGAGGAGACCCCCGGGAAAACGCGAAAAAGCACCGCCACAGAGCCGCATCCGGGGCGCTGGAGCGGAGGTCCGGGGGCTTCAAGTTTCGCTCCAGGCACCGGAGCTTCAAGCGGTACAGCTCGATCTGGTTGGGAAGGGGCCCCATTCCTTTCTGCTTTCCGAAGCTGAAGTTAGAGAAATTCTGAAGGGTGCAAGAAGAAATCCGATGCGGAATTTTCATTCGTGCGGAATGTTCGAAGGAAACCGGCAAAGGTAAGGAGTGGTCCACGGGGTGGATGGACTCGCACCACCCGAGAAACGCTGGAATGAAGGGTTCCTTACTCACAGTTCCTCAGGGCACCCCTACACCCCGTAGGGATTCCCTGAACTTTGCAGATTTGGTTCAAGGAAGCCAAAACGAAAACCAACACTTTTCTCTTCAGGCCGGATAGGTTGGAAAGGAACGCGTTGCAACCCAATGTGGGCTCCAAATAATTTTGTCTGAAATACGGGAGGTGTCCCTGAAACAAACCAACAAAGTTCTCGACACTCTCTATGACTCTATGGCATTTCGATCGCAATATCCGTGGTTCTGGCTAAACTTGCTGGTAAGGAATGACCATGAACCATCCAACTGGTGGTTTCCTTAAGGATCCCTTGAGGTTCATTCCCTCATTCCCTGAGCACCAGCAAGTAAAGTTGCTCATTGGAATCCAGACCTCAATGGCGCATGCATGGAAGCGGCTTCTCCCGACGGCCAGTATGGCCCCAATTGCTTTGCAGGGGTCGCTGGATTTCCCAAGTTGCTCAACTTACTTGGGCTTTGCCGCGCCTCGTGGTGTTGGCTTGTAATCGAAAACGAGGGGACAGAAGACATGTTGGGAGATCTAGATTCTAGCTGCAGGGCGGCTTCCGGCGTCAAGATGAAGACAGGGTCCCCACAGCTTCCGTAAACATCACCCACCAGAAGGAAACTCACCTCACATAGCCCCAGAAAGTGATGTTTAAACAGAGGCAATGGGCATATGTAAACGTGTTCAAACTAGGGATTTGGACCCCCCCCCCTTCCCCCCCCCCAAAAAAAAAAAAACGGCACGTGGTTTTCCTCGCGGCGTCCTTTAAAAAGTTTGGAACCCTGCACTAGGGAAACCTGGCGATGGATCCCTGGAACCTCCCAAACGGACCATAGATCGACCTTTGAGGTGCCCTTTCAGCACGGCTGAAAGATGACTTAGATATCAACAAATGGTGTGGTTTCAACCATGGTTTCAAAGTGGTGCAGGATTTCGTCCATCCACGGTCCTCCAGTCATAAGGAGCCCAGACTGTTTGGTTTCTCTTCTCTTCGGAGACGGTGCTGAAGCTTTCTATGGGCGCGTCGATTTCTTGAGTTGGGGGAGCCACCCATTTTGAGAGCCCAAAATGAAAGAGACAAACCAATATATCCTGGTTTGGGCACTACTTATAGATTTTTGGGGAGTCGAAGCCAGACCTGCTATTTGAGATCCCAAATTCGTCCATGTCCAATTCACGTAGCCCCACCAACTGTCTTTCTCCCCCCGGATCTGCCCAGGTTCCGCCTCTCGAATGTACTCCACGCCTTGGGGTCGTTCCGAGAAAATTGGCGCTTCTCACTCCGCCTTTTCCAGGGTCCCCTATGCTTCCCCCCTGTCAAGGGAACCTCACCTTGAATGGGCCAAGAGGGTGATGCTCAAAATCACCAGAAAGGGAAATGTAGGGGCCTGCCCCTGTTTCAGCTGGATATGCTATGTCCCAACTGGTTGCGCAATTAACATTCATACCTATATGTCACAATCCCTCTCAACTGCAAACATCTATATGAAAGTCAACGTGTATGGCTGCAAACCACGAAGTGCGCCCGATTTTGAAGGATTTGTCTTGGGCAACTTGGGTATGTCAAATTTGGAACGTCTCCCTCGCAATACCCGCTCGTTTACGGTATGCTGCCAACTCCTGCTTGAGAAAGGAGGTAATTACAACGGAACACCAGGGCACAGATCGAAGGAGATTCTTAAAAAAAAAAAAAAAAAAGTGTTTGTGCAATCACAACTATTGGACACAGCCACGCCTACGCGCGTTTCTCTGTCCCCATGCGTGTTTGGACTCCGTGGAACCCTTCGACACCTTTCACCCCGAGTTTCCACCCGGAGGTGGGGGCCCAAGTGGCGAAATGCCAAGAAGGGTTGGCGTGTGTCTGTTGACCTGCTGCAACAAGTGGTTGGGCCTTAGTCAATCACCAAACGGACATGGCTCAGAAGTTCAGAAGGCAAACAGCTGAAAGGTCAAACCGAAGAGCCGAAGAGTACCAAGGAACGGATTCCACCGTTGGTATATTGGCCAACCCTTTCTCCCCCCCTTCCGTAAGAGAGTCGAACAGGCCCGGTTTGCATGCTTCATCCTGCAGTGTTGGAATTCCTGTCCAATTCTCAATTCCCGAGTTGGGGCTTCCCATGGCGATTCCTGCCACGAGAAAACCAGGTACATCCAACCACAAAACCACGGCAGAATACACCAAATTGGAGGCTTTTGATTGTTCCTTACTTGCAATAGTTCGGGCACCAACCATACGGACAACCCCCTCCATTGACACCGCAAGAGGCCGAAGGCGCCCAAAAAAGTTGGCGGGCGATGCTCCATGAGACTTCCAGAGCATCGAAGGATTGCCAATCGCAAGAGTGGCAAATGGCGTGTTCACCTCGCCGGTTTCTTGCCAATTGCTTACCAACTCTTCAACCAGCCTCCTGGCATATTAGCAAACACATTCCGGCACTCTAAAACTGCACCGAACAAAAAGGCAAGCACGCATGCCTCTCGCTAACTAAGACTTGCCCGCCTCTCGGTAACTAAGACTTGCCCTGCCCAGTGATTGCTTTAGCCAGGCACGCATGGCGTTCATCTTCTGCTCCCAGTAGCCTTGCTCCTGCCGTGACTCGTCGCGGCTCGCAACCCACCCGACCAACCCTTGAGTGGATCCCGTGCAACATAGAAACAGGATCAAGGGCAGTTTTCTGTTCCTTTGGAAAAACATGCGTGTGTCTGTGTGTGTGTGTAGAAGTTGGATTGGAACCCACCAAAATGTGCGATTGTCCTTTGATGCCGTTGTGCATCTCAAAACACTTCTGCAAAAAAGGGGCAAACTCCAATCAAAGACTCGCCAATTCCAGCAAAAACCCGTCTGACATGCCGTTTCGGCAACCCAATTTTTGAGACGGCGCCAAGTTGGTTCTCTTGGGCCTCTGGAGTTGGAGCTTGCCCTTTTGACCGTTCCGCTGGTGGAAAATACGGGGACGTCCCCTTAGCATGTGAAGAGGGAGTGCGTGTAACCGGCCGAAGCGGTTTGAATTCCACCCGCCAGGGCAAAATGTTGGGCCCTTCTCCTTCTGACTTTAAATGGGTGTGTCTTTTTGTTCGGGAAGCAAGCCCCTTTCGGGGAAGTTTAAAACGAGAAGTTCAAGGGGGGTTTACCATCCTTGGGCTCCAGAAACAAACAAGCCACCCAAATGAATAATGATGAACTTGCGGAGGAAAAAGGGCGTTTTGTGGAGTTTCCTGCCTCAGCTTCCCCCGAATTGAGTATCCAGGCTTCACCCATCCCAACTGCTGCAAAGCAAGCCCAACAAAAAACCACCAACCCCACAGAAAGGGCAGCCTCAAAAGAAGACGCACCTAAATCTGGGAGGTCATTGCTTGCATTGGTGCTCCTTTCGCGCTAGCAAAAGGTCATCCGCGGTTGCGATCCCTCCTTCCCGAGCCAGATGTGGGTGCTTCTCAGGAATGGTTTCGGACTGCTTTTGGTAAGGAAACCATTGCCATTCTTGGAAAAAAGGGAAACCAAAAAGGAAACGATTGCCAAGCTTGGTATAACCACAAGGAAACCATTGCCGTTCTGTATATAAAGTGAAACCAAAAGGAACCCTTTGCCAAAGTAAAAAAAGGGAACTGACTCCCAATTCACACATAAAGGGAAACCAAAAGGAACCTTTGCCATTCTTGGTGAATAAGAGAAACCTAAAGGGACCTTTGCCACTCTTGGAAGATAAGGGAAGCCAAAAGGAACCTTTGTCTCCTTGAAAAAAGGGGAAACCAAAAGGACATCATTGCCATTGTCTGGCGTACAGGGAAACCAGAAAGAATCTTTGCCACACTTCAAAAGAAGGGGAAACAAAAACAAAACCATTGCCATGCGTTGCAAGAAAAGGAAAACCAAAAAGAACCTGTGTTTCTCTCTGAAAAATGGGAAACACCATGAACACCATTGCTGCTTTTGGTATAAGGGGAAACCCACCAGACACCTTTGCCAGGAAAAAGGAGGGAACAACAAGCTCACCATTGCAATGATTGCTGTGAAAAGGGGCACCTTGACTTCCCTTGAAAAAAATGGGAAGCCGAATGTCACTTTTGGTATTGGGAAACCAACAGGAAACCTTCGCAATTCTTGGAAAATGGGGAACCAAAAGGACTTAAAGGACATCTGCCATTGGTAGAAAAAAAGGACACCAAAAGAAATCCTTTGCCATTGCTTGAAACCAAAAGGAAACTTGTGCCATTCTTTGGGAAAAAAGGGAAACCAAAAGGAACCAGTGGCATGAATTTGCAAGGGAAACCAACAGGAAACCATTGCCATTCTTAGGGACAGAAGGGGACACCAAAAGGACACCTTTGCCATTCTGAAAAACAAAACGAATCCAAAAGGAAACCACGCTCATGCTTCGACAAGAAAGGGACACCAAAAGGACACCCTTGCCATTCTTGGAAAAAAACGTGACCCCAAGAGGACACCTTTGCCATTCTTGGAAAACACAGGGAAACCAAAAGGCATCGCCATTGTTTGCAATTCTTTAGGAAAAAAGAGTACCAAAAGGACACCTTTGCCATTTTTGGAAAAAAGGAAAACCAAAAGAAAACCTTTGCCATTCTTGGACAAAAAGGGAAACCAAAAGGACACCATTGCCGTTGTTAGTATTTGTCTTTCATTTCTTTGTCGGCAAAACCCTGGTTCGGCCTAGTAGTCAGGTGCTTGCTTTAAAGATTCTTTCTATGTCTCTCTCTTTTCTTTCTTTCTTTCTTTCTTTCTTTCTTTCTTTCTTTCTTTCTTTCTTTCTTTCTTTCTTTCTTTCTTTCTGTCTTTCTTTTTTTCCAACTCTTTGTCCGCAAAAACCTGGTTGGTCCTAGTAGTTACATGCTTGTCTTAAAGATTCTTTCTGCTTCTCTCTCTTCTTCTTTATTTCTTACTTTCTTTTTACACCTTTGCCATTTCTTGCCAAAAAACGGAATCCAAAAGGACACCGTTGCCATACTTGGAGGAAACGAGACACTAAAAGAAACCTTTGCCGTTTGCCCGTATGGGAAGGGAAACCAAAAGTCAACCTTTGCCATATTTTGAAAAAAAGGGAAGCCAAAGTTACCATGCCTATTTGTTAGTATAGAAAGGGAAACCAAAAGGACACCATTGCCATTTGTTGATCAAAAAATGGAAACCAATGTTTCCACTGTCATTTGCTTGTATAGAAAGGGAAGCCAAAATGAAGCATTGCCATTCTGGAAAAACAAAGGAAGCCAACGTTACCACTGTCATTCTTGAAAAACAAAGGAAACCAAAGTTGCCATTGTCATTGTTTTTGAACAGAAAGGGAAACCAAAAGGACACCTTTTTCATGTTTGGGAAAACGGGGAAGACAAAAGGAACCATTGCCACGTTTGTGTATAGAAACGGAAACCAAAAGGACACCTTTGCCATTTTCTGAAAACAATGGGGATCCAAAAAGGAAACCACGGCCATTCTTGGAAAAACAGGAAAACCAAAAGGACACCTTTGTCATTCGCAGAAAAAGGGAGCCAAACCGAACCCTTGCCGTTCTTTTTGTATAGAAAGGGAACCCCAAACGGAACCCTAAAATCTGGCACAAACGTGTTAAACCAAAAGGACGCCAAAACGAAACCCTTGTACGCAACGGGACACCAGGACCACAAACTAGGTCTTCCAGTAGAGAGGTTAGAATAAGGGTACCCTTTTTCTGTAGTCTATGTTAGCGCCTCTAGTCAAGTCCTCTGCCACCTCTGTCTTCTCCTTCTCCTTCGGCAGTTCGGGCTTCCTATCTTCCAACGGCAATGGCTGAGGGCAGTTTGTGAGCGCCGCTGGGCTCTTCAGCCCTTCGCGTGGACCGGCAGTGTACAGCCGACCCATTGCCTTCGAAAGCTTCGCAGCCTCTCTGGAATCAGAGATCGCTTGTCTGTGTTGCGGCGGAGGGCGTCTTCGATGAACTCTGCCTGCTTCTAGTAGGGGAACCCAAAACCCCAAAGAAGAAACGGCACAAGGGCTCCTAGGAAACCATTTGGTTAAAACCCTTCCATTGCACATCCCATGGAGGGAGACATGCACAATTTCAAAAAAACAGAAACCTAGCTGGGGGACCTACGTTGAAACCATCCACCCCACGCCTGGGGCCCCAGGGCTGGGCTTCCCGCCTGCTCCACGGCCTCGCACCGCGCCAGCCGCGCCTGCCACTCCGCCAGCCGATGGAAGAGGAGGCCCTCCTCGGCGGACGCGGAAGCTTCCGGCGGCGGAGGAGAGACGCCACCCGTGGTGTGGGAGACGCCGATTCTTTTTTCTCTGGGAGGGTGCGGTGGAAATTCCATGGAGCTTCGGTGGACTTCCATAGACTTTCAGTGGATTTCCATAGACTCTTATAGGAGAAATTCCCGTGGGGGGGAAAGGATTGACGCTCATGTTTGTTGGCTGATGTTAGGTGAGAGCCCTCAACATCTGTACTTGAAACAAGAATCGCAAGCTAACTCAAAAACCACCCCGCGCTGTCAAGAGGAGTTTGTTTAAGGCATGGTTTGAATCATGATTCGTTGAACAACTCTGTGTGTTTGTGTTGAGGCCATAGTTCGAACCAGTATTGTTGAAATTGTTCAGGTTGCCACAAAGAACCTGCAAGCTACATGAGCCAAGCGCTGAAATTCCCTTTCCTAACAGAATCAACCTGATCGTCCTTTTGCGCATAAAGGAAGAATGAAGATGGCTCCTTTTGTTGGAACTCGGTACGCCCCCTGCTTCCTTTTAAGTTTCTTGTTGGCTTCCTTTTGAACATACTTTCTTCTGCGAAACTTGGATTTCCCTGTCAGGTTCCCGAAGCGTGTTGCTTGTGTTCCTTTTGGATGTCTTTTTGGGTGTCCTCTGGCTGGTTTCCCATTGGCTTCCTTCTCACTTCCTGCGCGCCTGGCACTTCTTCTCCACCAAGATGGTCTTCCATTATTTTCGCCGAAAAAAAATCCAACTCCCTTCAAGTGCGGGTTTCTGCCGAGTTTCGGATTTTGTCTTGGGACGTCAACCAGAACCCCCGGCCGAGCCCCGGCTCAGCTCCCGCCCGACTCCCGACTGATGTTCGCTCAGGCGCCGCCAGCAGCTCTTGGCCCGAGGTCAGCTCCCCCTGCGAAGCTTTGGGAGTCCCTCAGCTTTTTTATTTGTTTTGGGTGTGGCTGTGGGTCAAAAAAAAATACGCAAAATGGAACCCTTGTAAGAGGAAACATGGACTAAAAGTTGCAGTCCCCTCTCTTGGATAAATTTTGACCCACAGCTGTGTCTTTTTTTGGAGGAGTCCCAACAAGCCTTGTGGTGGTGCGGTTTCCCGTTTCAGCTTTCCTCTGATCGGCTGGATGTCCAACTTGGGGGTTCCCTTTAAAGCCGGCCCAAAACGGGGGGTTTCTCCCCGTTCAAAAAGTACCCGAATCGGTGGTTTGGAGGCCGAGGCTGAAGGCCTTCCATTTGCAAGAAGCAGGGATTCAAATCTAAATCCAAGCCACCAATTGGAGGTAATCAGACCTTTGGTGGTTCAGGTGGGACAATTGGGGCCTGTCCGGCGCTTAACTTGGCCCACAAAGAGATGCACACAGGAGTTGCTTTTGCTGACTCTGGTCCATATTTCGTCTGCCCTCACAATATGACATAGATTTGGAGATCCCAAAATTGACTGGTCCAAATTGGCTGGCTGCCCTGGTGTTCTGGGGAATTGGTTTGCCCTCTTCCCCAAACAAACAGAAGGCTACCAAGAACATGGTCAACTTACCAATTCATCCAAGCAACAAGGGCTGCTAGAACTTGCAACCCGCAAGTTCATCATAAAGCCAATCCAACGGAAAACAAGCTCGGTTTAGCTCCAATTAGTCGATTGAACTGTTTGGGGATCCCCAGAAACAGGGTGCCCCTGACATGCGATGATTTCCGTTTGGCTTCCTCTTTGATGTCCAAAAGGGGATTCTCAACCCCCAGCGACTAAGAACCACTGCTCGCTCCCAGTTGCTCAATTGCTGACACTGTGTGTCTCATGGGGAGCGCGAAACTGGCAAGAGTGTCCGTTTGCCTTCACTTTGAACAAAACTACCTCGACTTGTTGCTTTGATGCTGGTCTATGCTTGCTTGGTTGGGTGTTCAGCCAAGTTACTTTATAAGTGGTTAGTCACCTAGGTTGTAGCCCACTTAGAAGTCTCCAACTGGGGTCAACCTTGTTGTTAGGGGTTATAACCCAAGTGGCTAACCACTTCATGCCAACCAGAGTGATAGCTTCCCTGTAAAACTAGGGCACAATAAAACCTATTCTTCGGAAACTGGAAGTACTGAACCTGAACGTGTTGTATGGCTGTGGGTCACAAATAGGTGCCCAAAATGGAACCCTGGTAAATGGAAACATGGACCAAAACCAGTGGTTCTTTGCTGGTTGAATTTTGACCCATACCCGTATGTCATAAACAAAGGCCCCAGAAATCCACCGAGGGGCGGAACCCATTCCAGCTCCCGGCGCGAGCGCGCTTGCTGCGACCGCACTCTGCGGCAAAAATGTGCCTTTGTTGGTCCCCCTATTTTGACACGGACTCCTTGGCGGACATGAACTTGGCGCTCAGGGGCCGCATGCCCACGTCTTCCATTTTCATACGTCTTTCCAGAAAAAAAGGGTCGAGATTTAATTTGGGATGTTTTTTTGTTTTGTTTTGGGATTGTTTTTGTTTTCCGTCCTGGCCACTAAAATGCTGTAATTTACAGCATTTTCTCGCGAAATGTGCGTATTTTTTCGCGTCCGTCAACATCATCAGCATCGTTTTCAACATCCCCCGCATGTCCAGCCAACATCGCCAGCATCACCAGCAAATTGGCTTCCCGCATCTCATGGTAAAAGTGAGGATTCAACTAAAGGCGCAGGGGGGTTGGGGGCCTTTTTTGGGGGGGGCGGCAGCCCCCCCATGATGATCGAAAAATTAGGGGCAAAGAATCTAAAAAATAACGGTCGCATGATGATCGAAAAAGTGATGATTCAATTAGGGGCAAAAAGTCCAAAAATAGCGGGGGGGTTGGGGGGGGCGGCAGCCCCCCCATGATGATTGAAAAAGCGATGATTCAATTAAAGGCGCGGAAGGTTGGGGCGGGCGGCAGCCCCCCCATGATGACCGAAAAAGTGATGATTCAATCAGGGGCAAAAAGTCTAAAAAATAGTGGGGGGTTGGGGGGGGGCGGCAGCCCCCCCCATGATGATCGAACAATTAGGGGCAAAGAATCTAAAAAGTAGCGGTCGCATGATGATCGAAAAAGTGATGATTCAAATAGGGGCAAAAAGTCCAAAAAATAGCGGGGGGGGGGGGGGTTGGGGGGGGCGGCAGCCCCCCCACGATGATTGAAAAAGTGATGAAATTAGGGCCAAAAAAATATATTTAAAAAACAGCGGGGGGGTCATCAGTTCCTCTGCGGCAAGGCCTCATGGTACAAGTGAGGATTCAATCACGGGCAAACTAATCCCTGTAAAACACCTAAAACGTAGCGGGGGTGGGGGGGCGGCAATTCCCCCCATGATGATTGAAAAAGTGATGATTCAATTAAAGGCGCGGGGGGGTTGGGGGGGGCGGCAGCCCCCCCCACGATGATTGAAAAAGTGATGATTCAATTAGGGCCAAAAAAAATAAAAAAGCAGCGGGGGGGTCATCAGTTCCTCTGCGGCAAGGCCTCATGGTACAAGTGAGGATTCAATCACGGGCAAACTAATCCCTGTAAAACGGCAGCCAAAGAATCTAAAAAGCAGCTGTCGCATGATGATCGAACAAGTGATGATTCAATTAGGCGTGTATTTTAATCGAAAGGGGGGTGGCGGGGGGCACCAGAGAGGAACTTGCGATGCTGAGGATGCAGGAAGCCAATGCGAAAAGCCAAAGCCAAAAAGCCGCCAAAAGCCACAAAGCCAAAAAGCCAGCGGAACTGGCAATGCAGAGGATGCGAAAGAGAGGAACTGTGAATGCAGATGCGAAATGAAAAGCAACAAAAGCCACAAAAACCCACGTAAAAGCCACAAAAGCAAAAAAGCCGAAAAGCCACCCACCCTGAAAAACAAAAATAATTCCTTTAAAAAAACGAAAAAAATCCTTAAAAAAATGGCCCTCCAGAAAAAAACACGTCCATTAGCAATAGATTCCCTTTGACACCAGACTGAAAATGGACTCAAACAAAGATGTGGCTTTCCTTCCTGCTAAAACGACAGACCCAATTGGTGCCTTCGCAAGAAGCAGTGCTTCGAATCCAATCAAAACCGCAGGGGGTGTGTCTTTGTTTCCGGCAATCAAAACGACAGACTCCGACCATACGAATCACAAGAACAGATCCAGATCCCAATCCAAATCAGGTTGAACACCCCAATCCCAATCCAAGCCACCAAGAACCAACTCTTCCTGGCTCCTCCAGTAGAGAGGTTAGAATAAGGGTGCCAACTCTTTTCTGTCTGTTTTAGTAGTGGAACCCCCCAACCAAAAAGGGGTTAAGGAGCACCTAGCTGGGAGACCAACTCTTCCACAACTCCTTTTTCGCATCGCCTTCTCCAGGGTCACCAGCCCGGCCGCCTCAAGACGTGACTCGGCGTGAGAAACGCGGTCAGGTCGCCACACAGCGGTTGAACCACAAGCCCTTGAACCTGAACTCGTTGTTTGTGTATGACATGTTTAAACTTCACCAAGTTCTGATTGAACCACTTTGCTTCGAGTCTTAAACCGTGTTTGTTGGAAGTTTAAACTTCACCAAGCTGCTTGAACAACTTCCATTTCGCGCCTGAAACGCGGGGTTTTCAAGGCCTTGGAAGGAAATCTGGGGAGGGTCCTTTGATGCAGGTTGCCACAAAACGTTTGAGCAGCCTCCCTAAAGGGTTCAACTGAAATGCTCGGGTTCCCTTTGTGTAATTTCAGGGGCCGTGAAAAATCGGGTATTCTGTACCTGCTGGTTCTCACGCAATGGAATGACCGTCGGGATGGGTGCGTCTCGATGGGAAAGCGAAAATGGCTCCGGTTTTCCTGTTGGTTTCCCTTTCAACACATATTCATTTCAGACAGTGGAAGCAAGGCACCGCCTTCGAAAGAAGCCGCGGCCGCGCGAACCGCCAACCGCAAACCGCGGCCCCGCCTCGAGACCCTCCCGAAAGGAGGCCAGGCACTGCCTCAGCGCCTCCTCCGCCTCTCAGCCCGGCAGCCCCCCCGGTTCCCGGTTGGCCCAAGGAACTGGGCCGAACTCGGCCGCCGTGCTTGCGGTGGGGGGGCCGAACTGGGTCTTTTGATGGCTCAGGTTCAAAAGGGAAGCCGACAAACCTGGCAAGAAGTGCGAGCTTTTGATACACTTCTCAATGTGGACCCGTATGGACTGGGGTACATGGGGTTGGTCCCCCATGGCTTAGAGCTACTCTGACGTGGGTTGAGTTGCTTGCCCAGCTCTTGTTGTAACGATAGATGTGGTTAGTGCCCATTGCCACAGGCTGATTGGCAACCTCCATTCTGCAACCGATTGCTCGTTGGCAAGTGGGTACATGGTCGTCCACGCTCGGTTGCGATCCGTCCCTTAAGCCTAGCCACCTACTGGCTCAGTGGGTTGAGCATCCGAGTTTGGGTCAAAAGGCTTGGTTTTGGCCCGCCGTGTCTATGGGAGGGGCCGGTTGATTGAGGGTGCGCCTTAACCTTCCATCCTTCCATACATTATATGCTTTGGCGTGGATAGCCGATTGGGAGAGGCCATTGGGCAATTCAGAGGCCTTTGGGGAGCATCATTTACGTTGCCAGCCACCAGCGATGTTGTAGAGCCGATTAAATGTCACGGGAAAAAGGACATGTGACCAAACCTCATATTTATTGCGAGAACAAGGGCTTGCTCCCGGCAAATTGACGGAAGGAAGGAGCGTGTTGGGAGCTTTTCCGACTGGTGACTCCCTTTGTTCATTCCCTGGGAACCGCTTCACTCCCAAACTCCGGTGTGTGCACGTTTGGGGAACCCCACATTGGTTTTGCGTGTGGTTTCCCGTACCAAACCAGGGGTGTCAACTCCAAAACAAGACACACACAAAAAAGAGTTGCGGTGGAGGAGCTCGTTTTCCCGGAGCTGCGGTTTGCTTCTCTACTGGTTCTTCCTTGGGGCTGACATGGTTGATGTTGGAAGGGGAGCAAAGATGTAAATTTTAGCAGCTAGGTGGGGATTTCAACCACCAAACCACAACAAGCAACATGTAACACGTTGCCCAGCACCACCATGTCTTGAGGGCGCCACTTTGTGAGGTGGGGCAAAAGAAGGCTGATGGGTAGAACATATCTGGCTGGAAGTGTCCAGCCGCCTGGAGGGAGGGCAAGCGCAGCAGCCAGCGGCAGGTGGCCCCTACTGCGGGGCAGCTGAGCGTCAGCGACAGCAGCGACGCGGGGTCCATCGCGCGGGCGGACAAAATGGGGCTGGGCGGAGGGGTAGGATGGAACTCCCAAAAGGGTGGCCTCTAGTTTGCTGGAAACTCGGACGATTCGAAACAAGAGCTGCGAAGACGTCGAAAGTTTACTTCAAGCTTAGTGTTTATGGAGGGCTTTTGGGGGTTTGCAGGGGTATGGGGGGGATTTGGATTGTTTGGGCGGGTTCGGGTTAGTTGGCTTTTGTTGGGTGGGCTAAGCCTCAGCTGGAGGATTTGCGGGCCCTGACGAAGCACCTGGAGCCCTCGGCGAGCAAAGCCGGAGATCAGGAAAGCCGGGGCCGGCCACAAAACGGGGGAGGAAACAAATCCTCAGTTGCAAGCTGAAACGACGACACAGGCACACCTGTCCAAGGGAAAAGATATGTGCGGTCACAAGGCTGGATACCCTGGGCTGGGGAAACTCGAGAGTTCCTTGCTTTGTGGTGGAAAGTTAGTGGAGCGACCCGCCTTCCACTAGGCCAGCGGGGAACGGTGTGAGCCTGACTGCACTTCGCTGGGAGAAAGCGGAACCTGGCTGTCTCATTGCTACATTGGTCTTCCTTCGTCACCGCACCCCCTGAGTGCGTTGACGCAATATGGTTGTCTCTAAATAGGGCTACACCAAAATGAGTGGCTGTCCTTTTGCTTCCCATTAAAACGGTCGGCAGTGAGGCAGTGAGGCAGTGAGGCAGTCAAGCAGTCAGGCAGGCAGGCAGGCAGGCAGGCAGCCGCGCAGTTTAACCTGTTCGCGGCGAAGGCCGAAGAGCCCACAAAGCAACTCACCTGCCCAAACGATCCGAACCAAAAAAAGTGATCTCCAGTTTGAACAAACTGACCCAACCTTTGTGAACAAGTTGGGATGCAACCTGGTTGCGACGATGAACTGAGGGTTCCCTGGCTCCGGTTTTCGCCCAAGGGATAAGATCAAAAGGGAAACAATATGACATATGACAAATTGACGTCTGCAAACGTTGCTCCCACTTTTGGGGTGGAAAATGGGTCCCTCGAAAAAGGGAAACCCACTTTCCACCCGCGTTCCTGGCTTGGAGCAATCCATTCTGACCACGTGGTCCAAAAGAAACCGCGTCCGAAACCCGATCCGCCGTCTTTGGGCGGAAGGTGAGCGCAGCGAAAGCCCGCAAGGCTGAGGCTACCAATGGCTTACCTCAAACTCCCAGCGCCCAAAGCCGGCGAACACGATGAAAAGGCCAATGGAGCGGGGAACGCCCTGATCAACTGCTTGATGGACATGAATCCCCCAAATGATGTCCGCCAAAGGGTCCCCAACTAAAAATCACACCACCTACAAAACTGGCCAAATCACAGGTTTTGCGTTCTGCTCTCAGTTGCTGCCCTGTTGACCCCAAAACGCCCACATACCTTGGGGCAAGCAAGAAAACAAACAAACAACGTATTTTGTTTGTCAGCATCGTTCTTCCCAAAAACAAGCTTGGCCCAGGAGTATCAAAAAATACACGGTATTTCCAGATGTTCTGATTCTGTTTCAAATCAGTCTACCCCTTGTCAAAAAAAAGAGTGGAGGTTAGCCCCCAAACAAATGGTCCAGAGTCGCCTGGGGAATGATGAACATCCTTCCCATTACGTGCCATAATGCCATGGCTGGAAGCCCATGTTACGAGAGTCTTTGAGTTGCTGTGTGGTTGAGACTTCATCCATCTGCAATGTCTCACAATTCCGAAACCTGAAATACATTAAAAAACAAAAAAAATGATGGGATCTCTGCGTAAAGGACCTGCTTAATTACGGTGAGCTCGATTTTCCTTTAGAGTGGGCCCGCCACACAAGCGGCAAAGGTTCAATGCTTGGGCCTGCCCAAAAGTATACTCGGTTGCTTTCTGCACCCTTGCTAAAAGTTTAACTTTTAGTGGTTTAATGCAAAACCCATGAGTTGGCAAAAAGTTAAAGTCCTAACAGCCAAGCAACATGCAAAAAAGTAATTTAGGGGCCTACATAATTCGAATGGGGTGTTGGACTCCTTTACCCTTTCAGTAGTGGACCTGCCCGAACGTGCGAGTGCGCATATCTCGGCGATGAGCGAGCTTACAGCCGCAAAAAGTGGGTGGCTGCGCCAACAGGGGATTGCGATGGGAATCAAGAACCAAGGCAAACCTCCCATTCGACCAAGGCAATCAGGAAACCAAAGGAATGAGTTCACCCATTTCCCGGCCTTTCATCTTTCGGCTCGGAACAGCTGTTTTTGGAACACGTATTCCTTGCATTTCAGATTTTTCCACGGCTCGGGTAGGCCTCACAGTCTCATTCCCAACAGAAAAGAACGGAAACTTGGACTCAAGACTACAACGAAAAAGCCAGCAGACTGCGCGCTCACTTGACGGGCGCGGAAAAGCAAAAGCATTGGCCAGAGCGAGGCGGGTGTTCAGAGTCGAGTGATGGGTTCGAGAGGACATTCCTACGAACCGGATGAAAAGGTGGGCCATCAAGACTCCACCTGTGGGTCATGCGTCACTTCGGCATCTTTAAATTGCTTATCTCCTGGTTGATGCCCATCCCTGCAAGCCAAGGAACTGGCCGTGCCACACATGTGCAACCATCCAAATGGTGACCCAGCCCGAGGTCCCCCCATCGGAAAAAAAAAAAAAAAAAAAAAAAAAAAACACAATGGGCGAGAGCCGTTTTCGCCCGAGCAAAAAGCCGATTTCTGTGATACCAAAGTGGACCAAAAACTCCTCCCAGCCCCGCTGTAGCGCTGGAAGTGGCCCAAAAAGCCGAAACCATACCACACCGTCGTCAGGGGCACCCAGCAACCAACCGAAATGCCGAGAGAAACCTTCTTTGGGCGTGTGTGTGTTGTTTGGAGGTACACCTGGTTTGGTGGTTTTGGAAGAAAAACCACAAGGGAAGAACGGTCTGTGTTTTGCGGGAGGGGCCTGAAAAAGTCACGCCTATATTGATTCTGGGCCATAGGTTCGCAATCCTCGAAGTGTGGCAAGCTTGTCCGAAAGGTTCTGGGTAGATGGCTCAAGAAATCCAGGGAGATTGCCGGCAAATGTGGAGAAACGTTGCTTGGTGAGTGTGGGCTCGTTTTGGGTGGTGAGTGCCGGTGCACCAAGCCATGGTCACCCTTACTCAACTGACCCATGATCATTGAACCCAGCTCGTTTTACAAAAAAAGGCTTGCTCCCAGTCAAGAGGGGGTCCTCCACTTTTGCGGCCAACAACCTCGTCATCGGGCAGGTTGCCTAGCCTCCAAAAGACCCTGAGTTTTCGGAGGGGTACAACCTGACCCCAGATTACTCAACCTTGCAAATGAGCAGGGGGCATTTGCTCCCAGAAAAACAATTTCGTCCCTCTTAAATGGGACACCCCGAGTTGACTCCTGGGTCGACATGCTGGAGACCCTCAAAACAGCCTTTGGTTCCCTTTGACTTTCCTTTCAACAAGCCCTTTGACGGGCTTTCGCCGTCCCAACTGGGGGAACCACCAACTAATTACCCGACTGGGTTGGTCGCTTTGGGAAGTTTGAGGTCAAAGGTCAAAAGGAGGCACTCTTTGGAGGGACACCAACAGAAACGCCATGTTGGTCCTCTTATTTTGACGTACCCAAAGCAGCACCCGACCCTCCACCTCATCTGTTCGGGTCGCGCGCTCCGCGACTCCGCGCCACTCAGCTCGGAATTTTCAAGCCAAGTCAGAGTCGTCCTCCTGACGCAGCAAATGCGGGTCCGTGGTCACAACTCCGTAGCTCCCCAGCAAAAAGCCGTGATACATTCCCTTTACATAGCACTGGCTTTTGCTTAGGAGTGGCTCACAAGTGGCTGGAGTGGGCACCGTGTGACCAGGCGGGTGGAGGGCAACATCCCCAGCATTTCCGGGCTCAGTCCCCTGATCTTTTGCCACACAGGGCTGAGCCCCATGCGTTGCGGTGCTGGTTGTTCACGCCGCTGGGCTGTAGAGAGCTGGGCCGTGACCACCACTTGGCATTGGCTTTTGTTTGGCTTAGGTTGTGGTTGAGCTTGGCTGAACTTGGGGGTGGCTTTAGGTTGGCTTGCGTCAAGTTTGGGGCTGGTTTCAGGAGTGCTTGCTGTTGCTGAAGAGGGGTGTTATCTGCATTTTTGCTGGGGTGATGGTTTGGGGCAACGCACCGAACCAGGCGCAAACCAGTAAAACCGACTAAAGCCCACTCTATTCTTGCCGCAAGAACTTCAGCGGCTGGAAACCAGCACTGCAACGCATGGGGCTCAGCCCTGTCTTGCGGCAGAAGATCAGGAGGTGACTGAGCCCGGTGATGCTAGGGATGTTGACCCACCTCTCTGCCAACCAACCCAACCAACCCGACCAACCCAACCAACCCAGCCAACCCAACCACTCAAACACCAACCAACCAACCAACCAACCAACCAACCAACCAACCAACCAACCAACCAACCAACCAACCAACCAAGCAAGCAAGCAAGCAAGCAAGCAAACAGCAAGCAAGCAAGCAAGCAACCAACCAACCAACCACTCGACCAACTACTCGACCAAGCACTCGACCAAGCACTCGACCAACCACTCGACCAACCACTCAAACAAGCACTCGACCAACCACTCAACCAAGCAATCGACCAACCACTCAACCAAGCACTCAACCAACGAACCAACCCAACCCAACCAATCAAGCGCCTTAATTACTCCTAAGCAAGAGCCATTGCTAGTGTATTAAAAAAAAAGCGGCTGCTCCTTGAAACCAACAGGGAAATAAGACAGATACATATTCTTAAGCAAATGGAAGCCTATGGCCGTGGCTTCCTTTCCGGGAACCCTTAATTGTCCAAAACTCGCTGAGGGGCATCCCTCAAAAGAGGACCTTCTAAACCAGTGCCCTGTCTGTCAAAACCAAACTAGCCCAAAAGGATCCGCATATCCCTAAGCTTAAGTGAAAGGGAATAGCGAATGTGTACCCTGGCGCTAGATCCCCAAAACGCCTCCCAATCCCATGTCCGCAAAGTCAGTCATTTCATCCCTGGCATGATAGCAGAACACGGACCATGCAGAGGACCGATTGGCACAAGGGTAGAAATGCAGGGAAATGGTTTACCCTGTTTTCTGAAATGTGGTTTGGTCATCATTTGGGTGTTTCCATTTTGTGAGACCCCCAACACGGCGGTTTCCCTGTTGGTGTACCTTTCAAGCCAGAGAAATCAGGGGTACCAACTCCAAAGAACGACGAGCCACTCAATTAGAGGAGCTGGTTGAAATGCTTTCACAAGCATACCCGCCCCAAGGCTTCTCACCAGTTTTAGAAAGGGCGGGTCACTGGCATAGGCGTCCTTTTGGAAAAAACATGATGGCGCCGGGGACTAAATGAAAATCGAAAGCTGAACCAGGGCCATCCATGTTCAAGCGTGGCCAGGAGACCTGTGGTCACTGGGAAGTCCCCTAAAGTTGATTACTTGACTGGTGGTGTCCATTGAAATGATCGCGACCTTTGGAGGTCTCTCACAAGGGAAATGAAGGAAGCCCTGAGAGCGGCTTACGCAAGCCATGTTTGCAAGTTTGCAGGGAGGATCTGAATTTGGAACAGCACATGGATATGTTTGCGGATCGCGGAGCCTCTGCAAACTTGAAAGGGAGACCTGTTCTCGAAAAAAAAAAGGACAAGCGACCGTCGAAGATGGTTTCCACTGCCCCAAACCACCACCCCCGACATGTCTTGGGATACACAGCCGCTTTATTAAAGGGTATATACCTCGCTTTCCCCCTGGGCGGCAGTGGTTTGGGAGCGGACACCATCTTAGAGACCAGCGGGCAAAAACCCACCCCAACCCATCTGTGAGGAGTTTCCAAAGCCGCAGCCCCGCAGCCCCGCAGCCCCGCAGCCCCGCAGCCCCGCAGCCCCGTCCTCCTCGCTTTCCGCCTCCGAAGAAGCGCCCCACTTGGCCTCGTGCACGTGTTCCAGGAGCAGGTCCTGGCATCGGGTGTGTGTGCCATGGGTTCTTTGGGCACTGCCAATCGTGGATCAATGGACGAAATCCTGCACCACCTAAGCAACCCTGGAATGATGAATCTCCCTTTAAATACCAATAAACAATGGTGTCCCATGGGTTCCAAGTGGTGCGAAATGGATTTCGTCCATCCACAGTAGCCTAGCTAACCCCCTCACCCTGTTCCTTTTGGACGGAAGGAAGTGCCAAAAATGGAACTGTTTCTCCTCAGCTCGCTCCAAAGCCGGCAATGTGTTGGGGGTAAAGGTTCAAACACCGGGCTGGCCAAGGCAAATACTCAGTTCTTGTCAGGAGGCTAAACTCATACCTACCTCAGTTTTTGCCCTCCACAAAAAAATGTGTGTATGTAGATATGTATAGAGATAATGTGTCTGATTCTGCTCCATACGCAATAAGCCTTAACGTAACCAGGCTTCACAGAAGATTCCAAACGAGGCTGTCTTCATTCAGGGCCTAGATTGAAGGGGAACCAGAATTTCGGGGCCGCCCGATATTGACGTTCTTTTTGCTCCGCTCCAAGAAGGAAACTGAATGGGCAGGATTGCTCCCCTCTTCAGTCGGTCCACTTCCACCTGTTGGCGGCTTTTTGGGTTCCATGTCAATCTGGGACGCAGACATCACAACAGGAACAGGAGTCACGATCCAAGCTCCAACCAAGTTCGCAAATTGTAGAAAGACAAAGAAGACTTTACCGAAACCCAACCCCAGGCCATTGTTACGCACGCGGACATAAGCAGCCCCGGGCAAATTGCTTGTTTTCGGACGTGATAATGAAGCACACGCATGCCCAAAATGATAACGATCCCCTGCTCTACTGTATCCATGAAGATAACGTCCCCGTTTTGGCTACAAACATGTTATCTGAGCATGAACCAAAATGCTGAGTGCATGCAAAGTGCTGGAAGATGCTGGAAGGATTGCCGATCTTTGCGGAAGACATTCCTGAAAAAGTGCGAAACTGCAGCCGATAGTGGCGGCCTGACATGTTGCCTTGTTTCTGCTAAAGGTAACCCATTACCTGCTTGATTTATAGGCGAAATCCGGATCACTTTTGGGGGGAAACTCGCCCTAAATGTGGCAGGTCTATTAATCCGCAGTCGACTTTGTGGGTTCAGTTGGACACCTGGAGTTTATCCTGCTGGGCCTTGACCAAAAATGAGGAAGACACCCCTTCAATACACGATGTAGGCAGCTTTCCAACTCAACAGGTCACAGAGGTTTCTCAAAATCGCGACTAACAATTGGTGCTGTTGCCTTACCCAACCTGAAAAGGGTCCCCAACAACTGCTTCTGCCCATGTCCAAAAATCCCGCAATACTGTCCAAAGAGCAGCTGAGTGCTGGAAGAAAGCGCCCGGGAAAAGCCCAACCAATTCCCTCGCCTTCCGCGTGATCATGCCCCGCAGGTGGCTGCTGCTATCCAAGACCGGCAGGTGCCTAGCGCTTTGGCGCTTTGGGAACACCTGATTCAGGGAATGAACGCTAGGTCCTCCAGTACAGAGCTGAGAATAAGGGTACCTTTTTTCTGTAGTCTAGTTTAGTCGGGGAGCCCAAAAAAGGGTCAAAGGGCACTACTGAAAGACCTAGAACAGGCTGTGGCTCAATAAATGGAATCCCTCGAATGGCAGATTGAATGGAAGCAAAGCCCTATACTCTTTAGTTTTGAGCCACACCCAACAGGGGTTTTGGGAATGCACTGGAAGGGGATCCTAAGGGAAACCTCCAGGGACGGTTCAAAGGAGTTGTTGGCTGATTCCCCCGTTGCTCCAAGGCCCGAGCTAGAGGTCGATCACCTCTTGCAAGCTTAATGGTCCCATGTTCTCAGCGAATGAGTCATGTCTAGGGGCCAACTCGCATACCCCAAACTTTGTGATTCAACATGGGTCATACGGGGTACATACCTCAAATCTATCCCTACGTAAGGCCTGTAGATGGGGTATGTCCTTTTGGGGTATGCAAGTTGGCCCTTAATAATGACTATCCGAACCATCCATACTTTCGATCCCTCCTGGCTCCGAACACCCCGAAGTTGAAATTTGTTGACCAAATCTGGTATGGCGGGACACTGAAGGGAAAGCACCTCGGACTTTTTTGGGGGGGGAAATTGCTTTTTTCCCCAACAGCTGAAAGCTTTGGGGTCTCAGCCCAGATAGGCTCTGGGGTGGTCCGGGGGGGCCCTGAGGTAAGGTTCCACGAGGGTTCCACCACGGTTCCACGAGGGTTCCACCAGGGTTCCACCAGGGTTCCACCGGGGTTCCACCGGGGTTCCACCAGGGTTCCACCGGGGTTCCACCAGGGTTCCACGAGGTTCTGCGAGGGCTGCGGGGTGGTGTGAGCACTAAAAAACAGCACCGCATGCTGTTGGGGATATCACCTGAGCTTATTGCAGAATGGTCTCCAAAAAATGTGTATCTCCCGTTCTCCCGTTTTTTCAGCGGCTTCTACTCTTCAATCCTGCTTGGTTGGCTTCGGCCCATGGAACCAAGCGGTTTCATTGGTTTTTTTCTCGACGGGTCAATGTGGATTTTTGCCCGGCTTTCCCTGAACAACACGCCGAACACCTGGTATTAAAATGGTCGGGACCCAGAACCATGCTTCAAGGATTCAACAGCAGGATATGCGCACCCATTTATGGCAAGGGGATGTCCCTTACTACCCTCCAGTTTGACTCAATTGTCTCCGGGAAAAGACACATCGAAAGCCTGTGTGTGTGCGTGTTTCCCTGAATTGCCCCTCAAGGAAGACTTTTCCCCTAAAAGACTCCCACTTCTTTATTTCCACGTACCAGCCGAAGTTGCAATGGTTCAGCAACCGCAACCTCCCTTCAGGATACAATAGCTCTCCCACAACTATGACGCGGGCAGCGGTTTGCTCACGCCGCTTTGGGAAGGAATTCGGCACGGAGAGAAATCAACCAGGGGGGAAAGTGTCCAACCACCTTGTCTTCCTGGTTTCCTCAAAGGCTTCAATCAGGCCATAGGGGCGGTTTTGGGACAGGCGGGTTACGCGAGGGGGGGGGGGGGGGGTGGAATCCTATAACAACCGCCGCAGTGTGTGGGGAAGTAGCGCCGCCTTAGACAACCTGAAGGCTTTCCAGCCCGCCAGCCCGCCAGCCCGCCAGCCCGCCAGCCCGCCAGCCCGCCAGCCATCCGACTGTTGAACAACTCTATCCCCCGTTTTCGGATGTGTTTTGTCTTCTTAACTTGGTCAATGTTAAGCCTGCTAAGCCCTCCTAAAGCTAAGAGTTAAACCTTGCCTACCATCATCACATAGTTGGGCAAAGTGTGAGAAGCTGCCAAACGGTCTTGCTCCAAACACCCCTTCTTGATGGTTCCCGCTTGGCTCCAACACTGCCACCAAGCGCACGAAACGAGCTCAGAGGACCCAGTTGGAACACGAAACGAGCGCAAGAATTCCAGATCCCATGTTTACCGGAAACGATCCCAGCTCAACAGCGTGTCGTTCCGAGATACGTCTCTATTGTTTGACCCCCCGACGCAGTTGACCCTTGCCCCGCAAGAGATTTACACACGGGCGCTGGAAAGGTCTTGCAAAATATTGGACACCCAAATCGACCGGGCAACCTTGGATGGTCAACCCACTTAGAAAGTAGGGCTGACCATGGACAGGAGGAGACTTCTCAAACCCTGGGTCATTCCTTACTGCACAAGGAAAAAAAAGCAAAACCAGCCGGAAGTGCTGTGGAAACATAGGTTCCAGGGAAGGGTGGAAATCCAGTGCTGGAAGCTGGCCGATCTAGGATAATTACAGAGGAATAATACGTTCCTAAGCTCGCATTTTTAGGAAGAATCTACGGTTCAAAAGACAATGCTTTCAGAATCTGTTTAACATACATATATACATATATATATATATATGGTACCCCCCCCCCCCCAGGGACCTACCTTTTTGATGAATTCACTGGTATTTGCAGTGTTCTACCCCTTTTTTGGGCTTTGGGGAGAGCAATGAAAAAGAAGCATTTCCAAGGACGTTCTGGAAGCTTCAGGCTTGATTGAAACCGATGTAAACCGATTTAAACCGATTTAACTTAAATCGGGCATGGATTCAAGATTCAAGATTCAAGAATCCAGGCCAAACTTTTCCAGGGATTCTTGAATCCAGGCGTCGATTTAAACCGATTTAAACCGATTTAACTTAAATCGGGCATGGATTCAAGATTCAAGATTCAAGAATCCAGGCCAAACTTTTCCAGGGAGTCCTTGAATCTTGAATCTTGAATCCATGCCCGATTTAAGTTAAATCGGTTTAAATCGGTTTAAATCGACGCCTGGATTCAAGAATCCCTGGAAAAGTTTGGCCTGGATTCTTGAATCTTGAATCTTGAATCCATGCCCGATTTAAGTTAAATCGGTTTAAATCGAGACCCAAAATCAACATTGCACATTGCGCGGCTGTACTTTAGCACAGTGTTGTGCAAGCATCCAAGTCCTGATTATTCATTCAACCTGTTTCAATCTAGGCCCACATTCAAGATTGCAGGTCAAAGTTTTCTAGGGAATCTTGAACCCAGGCTCAACTGAAATTTCAGTCGGTCTCAATGGGTTTCACTCGGGCCTGGACTCGCGTTTGCAAAGAAGACTTGTCTAGAGAATATGGGTTCTTTCCTTATCAAATCCTGTTAAAGCTCATATTGAATTGCAAGTATATATTGGAAAAGGAACTCTATTTAAACTCGCAATCTCAAATTTGATTACTATCAGGATTCTGACCAAATATTTCCGTATTGAGTCCCAATTAAATCCTGTTCAAGTTCAAATGAGCATTTAGAGAGCGTTCGTTGGTGGAGATGTGAATTGAGTATGAAAAACGCTACACAACACTGTGTTTTACGGTGTTTTCTGACCAAGGTAGTGTTAGGACTAGTGAAAGACACAAGTTTGGGACCTTTGGATTCGTTCCTTATGCATTCCACTTAGTATGGTTTATCAAATTCAACCTTATTTCTGATTGAAATTCAATGCAGCTTAAGAAGGACATACTCCAGCCAAAATTGCGATTTAGATTCGAAGTTAAATATTGACTGTTTATGTCAAATTAAATGGTACAAACTATTTTCTGTCCAATAGACCATTGTACATTGAAATTCAATCACTTTCAGAACTAGCTAGTCCTAGTTTGGTCCTAGTCCTAGTTGGGAGATCCTTGGTTATGGGCCAAGTATGGTCCCAGCTTACTGAAATACATAGAACGTATAAAGGACATTACAAAGGAAGGTCGTTATGAATTGTAGTTAATATATTAGTCAAGTTCTATGCAACTTCTAGCTGAACAATTGAATTTGACATAAGGAGAATATCCAGTCAGAATTTACATGTGAGGACCAAATATTAAACAGGACTTTTTTTCCACCAGAATGTAATACTTGACATCCAAATACTAGAAGAAGTAGAATTAAATGGTCTAGTCCTAGTTTGGTCCTAGATGAGAGATCCTTGGTTCTAGTGTTAGGTTGCTCCCTAGTTTACTGCAACAATTAGAAAATATACAGGACATTGCAGAGGAAGTTATACTTGAAGTTCATTTTTTTTATTAATCTGAGGTGGGTCGTCTAGTCCTAGTTTGGTCCTAGTCCCAGTTCAGAGATCCTGGGTTCTAGTCTCATTTGGTCCTGGTCCTAGTTGAGAGATCGTTCCTCCCAGTCCTAGATGGGCAATTCATGCACTGGAGAGGCAGCCAAAAGGTAGGTCCCTGGGGGGGGGGGTAGCATATATATATATATATACATAGCAAATATAATTACATATATACATATACACAGAGCATGTTCATATACATAGTCTAACATCTACTATTTTTGGAGGACAGCAGCCAGTGAAAGGAAGGCTGCACCGTGGTCCGTTGAAGTCGACTCGGCTCTTGGCGGCCTCAGGCCCATGGTGCGGAAGAGCCCAAAGCACCGAAGCACCGAGGCCTTGCCGCGAATCGAAGCTTCCGATCGACGTTGGCGCCCAAAACCGTAAAGAACGTCGAAAAACTAATAGGTGAAACGGCTGTGGGTCAAAAACAGGTACCCCAAATGGAACCCTGGTAAGTGGAGCCATGATCCAAACATGTACTAACCTGTTGGCACAAATCTGGGTGGTTCTCCAAGGAATCGGATCCCTAGCAGTGGATTCATCTTTCAGACTCTCTGCACTTGGAGCAACATTCCACTGAAATGGTCCAGACCCACAAAAATGGCCAGTCCTCACAAAAAAACATAGCCCAAGGGAGCGAAAGGGCACGTGCTCCTTGGTCCTCTTAGGGCTTGATCCAGTGATTCCTATGGTTGGGAAGCAGCCCAAACGTGTTTGTTCGGAAGAACCCGGTTTGAACTGAAACTCTCCCCAAAAACAAAAACAAAGTGGTCCTCTGGGTGAGCCTTGGGATTTTCAGGAAATCCTGGTCTTTGAGGCCTTATGTGGAGGTTCCAGGCAGGATGCCTCTGAAAGTTTGTGTTTTCTTGGAACATGGGCTTCTCTGTTTAAAAAAAGGACCTCAAAATGTTCGAAAACGGGACCTCAATATCTCTTAATTGCTGCTTTGAAGGGACCATGGCGACAGGGAAGCTATGGAAATGAGTATGGGTCAGAAGGAAAGAACCACCAGGATATGGACCACAGGTTTTAGTCCAATTACCAGGGCAACCCGTTTTGGGTACCCACAACCAAATGTAAGCTATGAGGGTGCCAAACCATTTGCAGGCCTGTAGACTGGCAACTGGCAACAGTCTGCTGGTTCACAGAAGGCCTGTTCCTGGCCGTCAACTGCTTGATAGCATCGTCATGCCGCACCTGCCCATCAGAGTCCAGCTCTGCTCGACTTCCCGCATGAACTGCTTCCACGGTGAATGCGCGGTCAACGTCTCCCGCGTCTTGAGGCGGCCCATGGGGCACTCGCGCCCGTGACACCATCTCCAGGTGGCCGGGTGTTCGGCACGAGCCATTCACACACACTGCACGGAGCAGCCGTGCTCTGTGACCTTGTGGCCCTCCCTCTTCTTAGCCGCGACCTGCACCTTCGGCGCGTCCAGTCGGCTGCCGCCTCTGGTGAAAGTTGCCCCCGCACGAGCTGGATGCTTGTAAGGAACTTGCTGAAGGCAGCACAAAATGACAACATTGCCAGGTGCCAATAGTTGTTGACCCCCCACATATATTCTGCCACAATTCAATGGACATTGCATTCACAAAGGCAAGTCGCTGGCAGAAAGCGCTAATCATAAAAATGCTCTTGACATGGCATCTTGCGTTGGAACTTTTTTGTGGACCCGACTTAGACCCCCCCGCAAAAAGTGCGTGTTGTTTTACTAGTTGCAAGGGACTTTAACAGAACACAAAAATGGGTTCCTAAGATAAGGGCAAGGATCCTTGGTAATTCAGCAGACCATGAAGACCGCAAAAGCAAGAACTGTCCAAAAAAAATCAAATCACGATTCAACACATCGAAGCATACTCGTCTGTGGCAGTTCAGACCAACATGGGTATGGGTCAAAACTAAACCTCCAGGGGAACACAGGTTTTAGTCATTGCCAGGGTTCCATTTTGGGTACGCATTTTTGACCCACAGCCACAATGACAAAGGGGAACCATATGGAATGCAGTCTGCAGTCTGCAGTCTGTCAACGGATAAATCATGATGCCGTTATTTTTTCTCCCCAGTACCCTTCCTCTCACATGGCACCTGAGGGGCACCTGTCTTCAGTCCCAAGGCGTGGCGAGGTCAATTCCGGGTAGCTTGGTAGCCATGGCACTCGCCCTATTTACCCCAAGTGAAAGCCAGTTTGCAGATTGGCCTAGGGATTCCTTTTGGAAGCAAAATGGTGAAACGTGATGCCAAAACTCGACTGCAATGGAGAGGCAGGGTTGCGTGTTGGCTCCCTGTTTGCAAAATTGCGCCACAAGGGTTCAACTCTTTCTGAAATGTCAAACAGCCAAAGCAAGCAAAAAAGAACGGCCGAGTTAAAGCGAAAACCAGAAACTTCCTCAGGAAACGCAGCAGCTGCTTCACTTTGGGCGTTTCCTCATTTGGAGGGGTAGCGTTGAACGGGAAACCAAGGGCTTCCTCGGGCTTCGTACTCCTTCTGACGCCGTAAATTCTGGCTTCCCTTCAGCCCAGAAGGGCGTCTCCTGCATGGTAGAGCCAGTTGAGGGCTGAAGGGAAAACTCAAGAATTATCATTAACAGCCGTGCCCCTCGCATCACACGTATCTTGCTTCAAGGGACGATGTTCCCTCGTGGAAAGAGTATGGCGTAAGCCATGTTTAGCACTCATCCCCACACGCCCCATTCTACAAATTGAAGATGTACCTTTCGAAATTCGGGTCCACCGGATACGCCAATCATCCCCCCTTTCCATACATGTGTGGCTCCCAGAATTTCACACCGATTCACCGAACATTTTGCGGTTTCTACAGTTTCTACCGGGGCCTGGGGTGGGTTGGGGTGGGTTGGGGCCCCATTTTGAGCCACCCACCTGGCTTTTGATGAACTAGGTCCTCCAGTAGAAAGGTTAGAATACGGGTACCCACTTTTTTCTGTAGTCTATTTTAGTAGGGGAAACCCAAACCCCCAAAAAAAGAAACGGTCAAAGGGCAGGCCCTTGGACCCTTAAGCTCCGATCCCAGGCGCATGGTCCGGCACCGTGTAGGCCGCCCGGTTCACGTAGGGCATCAAGTTCAGCGTCATATTCAGCTCCCCGGGCGTCAGCGAGGCGAAGATCCTCAGAGCTCGCCGCGCTTGCGGTTCGGCACGCGCAACGAAAAAAGAATCCCCGAAAGGGGCGCGAAAAAGAACCCCACCTGGGACCAACAAAATGGAATGGTTTAAGCTCAACCACCGGGTTTAACCATGGTTGAAAAAAAATTTTCAACGTGGCTCGAACAACCCAACAAAATTGAATGTTGTGTTGTCATGGTTTAACTTCCTGGCTCCCCTTAGACCAACATTTTCGGGTGGTGGTTGCATGTCTCAAATTAGGGATATGGAGCCCCATAGATTTTGGTCTTCCTTTTGGGCTTCCTTTTAATGCCACCCAAAAGAAAAGTATCCTGAAAAAGATACACACCGACTTGAACAAAACAAAACAGAGGTGCGTCCTTCGCGGAAACCTCCAAAACCTGCTGAAACCAAGAGAAAGTCATCAGAATCACCTGGTAGAGGTCATTCTTCAACACGCCCAACACCCGTTGACCTTTGGTTCTACCATTGTATATCGCCCTGCAAACCCCATGAAGCCGGGCAGTCCTAACATGGCCAACATGGTTGCTGCTCAACTGGCCTGGTCCCTGCTTCGGTCAGGGCGGGGTAAGGGGGGAATCCAGGCAAGTACATCCGGCTCGCTGATCCCTGCTGAAAGTTGACCTTAATTTGGGATTGGTATGCAATGAACCTTAACTCCTAAAATCTAAGTCTGAGGGTATAGCTGGGAACGACATGGGGAATGGTTGGCCTTTTCCTGTGCTTGTTGTGAGAAATTTGATGAGTCCCCCCCCCAACTCCCCAAGAGCGCTTTGACCATGGAACACAAGGTTCGTTCCAAACACCAGGGAAATCTTGGCCAACGTGTGGGGTGCACAAAAAGGAGAATATGTTCTGATTCGGTTCCATATTGAGTCTGCCCCAAAATAGAAAAATAGTCTTGGCCTGGAGGCCCCAGAAAAATCGGGAATCCCCAAGTGCGGGATCTATTCACGGGTGTCCTTTTGAGTAGTCCATCAGTCTCTACTGTAGAATTGAACCGTTCTACAGGTGACGCTTCATGAAAAGTCTTGCAAATATCAGCCATGCGCAAGCGCAGCCCTCCATCGGATTTGGGACGAAATGGTGTTTTTTTATTGGTGCTTGAATTTGCAGGGAAGCCCCCTCTGATGCAAGATAATGACGGCGCAAAGTTAGACAAATGGTGTTGGTTTCCCTTCATGGCGGGCCAATAATCTTACTCTCCTGGGGTCGTTGGAGCACAATGCCTGAAATAGAATCATGGTCCTCCAAGAAATTGGGTTCCACTGGCACTACCGATGAGAATCACCACTGATCGATGGATTCTGGTTTCATTTCTATTTTAGCGCCTCAACCGGGGCCAGGTTGGTACTTTCACCCACCAGTGAGAGTTTATTTTCGCTGAGTGCCTTAAGAAGGCCTCGCCGGCATCTGGGGCTTGAAGGGTTGTGGCGCCGCCTGCCCCAAACCTCCAGTGGTTTCCCGTTTTCCTGGCTGCAGGAAACCAAGACCCAACTTACCGGTGCCCTGGCTTCCACAAGCTCGGTGCGTGTTGGGGGCTAGTTCTTAGCTACGATCTGAAACAGAGTTAGGGAAGCCAAACCAATCCATACCACAGCAACATGCCTCCCCCAAGACGCTGGCCGGTTTTTGGGGGACGGACAAACCACAAAACGACGAGCACCACGAGCAAACGGGAGGTGTCCACGGATCAGGCAGCTGGCAGTTGAGTGACTCCACACTCTCGACTTCGCGCCAGGGTGCTCAGGCGGTGGGCGGCTGTAGACCATGGGGTGCGTCAGCTCGCTCGCGCCTCTTGAGATAGGCCGTGAGTGTCCCAGAATGTTGGACCCTCAAGGAACACAAACCCATAACGTTGAACAATATCCGAGTTGCATGGGTGCTGATTTGAGTGACCATCTTTTCGGGGTTGACTAAGTCTGTCATTCTCGTGTTGACATCCCGAAAGGGAGGCTTGATCTGACTCCACGCCCCCCCTCCAAAAATAAGATGTATTTTAGCTGGGCTCGTGGGAAAGCAGTCAACCAAGCTAATGACTGCAGACTCTAGACGGCATCTGATATAATAAAGTTGGTGTGCATGATTCAACCATATCCAAACAGGGGGTGTTCCCAGTATCCGCAACCTTGAAATATGTCATGAACCCACAGACTCCCTGGAAACCCAGAAAAACGCGTCCTGTCTTGGGATGCCAGGGATGCTAGAAAACCCAATCTCAGGCTTCCTCGGCTCAGGTGTCGCCACGTGCGAAAAACGGAAGCTCTGGGCTGGATAGGCGGAGGTCCGGAATACCAAACCCCGGGGCCACCGAATCGCTCAACTCACTGAGATGTGGGGATGTGGGGATGTGGGTGTGCGTCAAAACCGGGAAACACACAGAATATGCTCGTCTTTGGGTTTCCCTTTGAAACCAAACTAATACGGGTGCCCTCACGAAAATCGCACTGAGATATATTTCTCAGATGCAAAGGCGGGATACCTTGTCAACTTCTGGACTCAACAGCCAGCTGCCGAAGCAGCTGAGCTGAATCTTTCCCGCACCGAAACCTTCTGGCCCACCGGCCAAAACCCCCTATCACTTCCACAGGCTCACTGGCTCTAGCCGAAAAAAAATGTCCAAGCTTTGTGTTTCTCACTAGAAGGTCAAAAATGGGGGGGGGGGGGTGATCAAAAGGTCCTTTACATGTGTGACCTTTACATGGGGTGACCATCAGGGAAACCACCAAAAAAGATGGACTTTCACCACCAAATGGAAAAAGTTACCCATGGTCATTTCGGGGCCAGGAAATCGAACCACCAAGAATCTTGTCGAACCCAGGGATCGAGTAGGCTCCTTGCCGGTTGGTTTCGCATGCCTCGTCCCGCCCCAAGGAAACCCCCAAAGGACCCCCCCCAAAGGACCCCCCCCCCACCCAACTCCGTGAGCACCGGCCTGATCGAAAGCCTGGCTCCGATCACAGGGGATTTCAGTGGACCTCCCCAAGTGGTGGCCACCCTTTGGGGCGCTACGGGTTGACCCCACCACCCTGACATTCAAACCGAAAGAAAAAGAGAAAGAAAAAAAAGGCGTTTGTCCCAACCAGGGCCCTTTGTTGCACCAAGGCATCTTCACATTGCTTATTCGCGCCCAATGGAGTAGGCTCACGCGAGAGCTACTTGAGATCAAGACCTTCCTCTTGGTTTCCTCGGGCTTTAGTTTGGGATGACATGGGGGGAGGGGGGGGGTAAGGGGAGCGGGGTGGGTATCCTCAATTGACACAACCCAGCAGGAAGCCTCCGAGATGCTCCAAGAATAGGAGTTTTACCGCAAATTCCTCTCATGTAGAATTCCTCTCACATCACCCTACCGATGTTTAAACCAACCTAAAGGAGAACCAAAGGGAACCCTGTCCTGATGCTTACATAGACCACCATGATTGCAGCTTTAGTGATTATGTGAGCCATCGGTCGTAGTTGGGCGTCATTGCAACTCAGATGTGTCCAAGCGGAAATCTGGAATCTGTGATCAATATTTTCCGGCCCCGAGTGAACCACAGGGACCATTTCGCATTTTTCCATGTAGTTGAAATCTCTACATCTTCTCCGTTTTGGTCATCCCGATGGGATTTTTTTTGCGCACATACCTCCGGTCCCGGGCCTTGACCGACATGGACCCCCGACGGAGTCGACGTCCAAAGCCAGGCGCCGTGGTTTCCCTGGTTTTGTTTTGCATCGGCCCCCTTACGGCACCAAAGCCAGAGACTCCAGGGACCCCCGCGTTTTTCCCTCGTCTTTTGGAATTTGCATAGGCCCCCCCTATGGGAAGCCCTGCGCTGGTGCGCACTCGTTCGCGCTAGGCAAGTGAAACGGCAAACCCTGGTTAAAAGCTTTAGATCCCGTTGTGTCTCGGGGAAATATAGCTGGGGGCACCATTTAAGACTTACGACCACAGATTTAGGCTAAGTACCTGAAGAAAACCCGAGAAGGGTTCACGATCAAGAGAAATTATTTCAGGATGGGTTTCAACCAAACCAAACCAGAACAAGCCCAGCCCGGCGACTCGTTCGGTAGAACACGAATCGGAGCCGTTTGCCGGGTTGACTCCATTCGTGGATCCCGAACCCAACAAGCCAAAAGTAAAGAAAATCCTCTGAACATCGGCATCGAGAAGATTGTCCCAACGCTTTCCACAAGAAAAACACGAGGGAAATCATACGGACTGGGCAAAAGTGGGCAACGCGACCAGGAGCCGAGCACCACGAGATTTGAACAAGGCCTGTATCCAGCACATGGAGCAGCTCTGAGCGCCGGATGAGGCCAAGGAAGAGGTTCGACCTGAGGCTGAGCTAAGGGCTCTCCATCAAAAGATGAGCATGTCCTCTTCTTGGAGGTTGAGCCCAGAAATTGCCGGCTGTCCTCTTGGCCTCCATTAAAACAAGGAAAGGATTCTCCGAAAACGAAAAACAGACACACCACAATCTCTTTTTGAGGTCCCAAGATTCTTAGGGCAAGTGATACCAAAATATTGGATCTTGGCAACCAGAGACGTTTTACCCATTGAGCTCCTCACGCCAAAGAACTCCCACCCCGCTTTCTCACCAACCGAAAGGCTCATGACCCCTGTGAGAACCCTGGGACCTCCAATGGAGAACCCTGCCAAAAAGCCTTGGACCCCGCATGAATCGGAAGCCTTAGAAATGCCCAGAACTCGAACTCCCCCTCCGAGTGCATGGTGATTCATGAGTATTCCCTGGCAAAGGCCATGGCAACCACGTGCTCTCAAACAGAAACGATCGCCGTCGAAGTGGGGCCTTCCGGGTCCGGATCGGACGCAACTTTTCGGTGAGTGCGAATACTCGGTGCGAGCGAAACCCGGGCGCCGAGAGCTCGGGGGTTGGGAGAAACCCGCAGCCTGTTGAGTGGATCCCGATGTTCAAGATCCCAATCTGGCAGAGAAAGGCACTGACGGCACTGCCGATTTCCAGAAAACAGCCTCTTTTGCAGTCAGAGAGAACTCAAAATGGGCCTCGAAAAGGGAAACCACCATTTTCGGGGTCCCTAAAAAAGTCACGCCCAAATAGCTCACCAACTCAAACTAACGGAGGGGACAAAACCGCATGGTTTAGCCCCCTGATCGGAAAACAGCCGCAAGGGGTTAGGACGTAGGAAGGTGCTGATGTCAAATTGAGCGACTTCCTGGGTGGTTGCTTTCCTGTGAGCTTCTGTTTTTGGCCTGCAAAAAAAGGGGGACACTGAAAACGAGTTCAGACTCCGTCAATACTCCGCCTATCTCTAAACTCGTTTTGAAATCAGAGACCCCAGCTATGGGTTTGTTTAAAATGGGATTTGGACCCCACATCTCTGGCTTCGCCTGGAAAAACCAGCCCCAACCGCTCCCATGAAAAACAATCCGAGGACGTCAGCCTCAGCCTGCAAAGACCTGAGTCCAATTTCTCCCAATCGAAGTCGACGCGGAAAGGGCGACGAACCTGTCGGAAGGACAAATCTTTCATCGATCCTCACCTTTGGGGATGGCCATTGGCTGATCCCTTGCTAAAAGTCCAACTCTTTGTCTATGTCATAAATCCCGCCCGCCCCAAGCCTTGCTTCGACGGTCCAAAAGTTTAAGGGGTTAGTAACTACGCAACCCCCATTTCAGGCGCCCAGTTCATTTTTCCTGTAAATCGTTGCAACTAGGGTCACCAATGTCAACTTCGGAATCCGGAGGACCGCTCGGTATAGGACGTATCCTTTTTTTTGGGAGATGTGTATGGCTCAAAATTAAAGAGCTACGGTTACGCAGGTGTTAGTCTCTGGTTCCATTTACCAAGGTGCCATTTCGGCACCACTTTGTTAAGCCACAGCCAGATGGATCCTCTGATTGGAATCCATCCGATCTGGGAGCCTGGGAGCCCCACTCATCAACCACGGGAAAGCCCTGGTGGGTGTGCGTCTCGTCCTGAAATCGAAGATACGTAACGTACCAAGCAGGGGTCCCCCGCCCTTTGAGGGGGGATTGATCCATCTTAGTTAATTCCTCTCATTAGCATGGTCCTCCAGATCAATCTGAAGTTTAGGATTAGCCACCCCAAGAAAACAAAAACAACAGAGCAAACAAAATGAGCTGGCAACCTTCCATGAGAGCCATGCTCAACTCGGAAAATGGGCTGGTCGTGGCTTTCTTCGAAGCAACCTTTGCCCTGGACCATTCTCCAGCAACCCCGAAAGTGTTCGGACAAAATGGTTCATTTCTGCGAGAGGGCATGATGCATAAATCTGGGCAGCCCGCCCTGGGTAATGGACTGCCATCATTTTGTCAGTTGATCGTGAAACAGGGAGAAAGCCACACATGCATACGGGCATGCAAGAAATCAACATCAAAGTTGCTGCCGCTTTTCCAAACAAGGCAGAAAGCACAATTTAGCGGGAAAGCTTCGAGTAATAAATCCCGCCCCAAAGCGTCATTGATTAAAACATGGGTGTGTCATTTTTTGAAGGCTCCTCTTTGGGGTGGTTTTAAAGGGCAACCAAGAGGAAAGCATGGAGAAAGGAACATTCGAATCACTTTTTTGTTAAACAAGAAGAAGAAAAAAACAACTTGTCACAGGCGTGTGGATTTTATCAACTAAGGCCAATAGTCCCGCATAGGGTCAGCATTTTACTGCGTGTGTTGCCTCCAGAATGGAGGGGGGGCTTGCAGGGGAAGACCTGCAAGTCACACTTTGGGATGGGGGTTTTGGGGCTTCTGGGGAGAGGAAGGCTTGCTCGCACTTATGGGGAGTGTCGGGCTCGAGAAGACCCAAGAAAGCGGGGCGGCCGCCCTGCGGGGGGGACGCAGTCGGCCCGTTTCTGGTGGGGACTGATTGCCCTTCATTCATCTACCCGCACACTTCCGCCCTGATTTGTTTCTCTGGTCCATAAGTAGATCTTATAATGTCAGAAAGAATGTAAGATGGCTCGTTTGGCTTTTCTTGTGAGTGCCTCCGTTTGGTTGGTTTAACAAGGAAGGCAAAAGCAAACACACACACACACACACACAATTGGGGGGTCCCTGGAACCTGCAACGCACCAAAAGAGCAACCCCCCCCCCCGGCACAAAAATATGTCTGGCCTTCAAAGCAGCTACCAGCTGCTTCACCAACACTGTCCGTGGGAAGCTGACCTGAGTCCGAGCAAAAGCGCAGAAACATGGGCAAACACTGGAAACACGGGTAAACACTGCTCGTGCTTGTTTGATTTGTTGCTTGTTGCTGACACCGCCGCAGGGCGGTCGCTTCCTGCTTTGTGGGCGCTCGCTGTCTTGCGCATCCACAATCACTGCACCCATGCTGGCACAAATGATACTAAACACGCTCAAGCCCATGCAGAACCACTGTACCGATGCTGGCACAAATGACAATAAACACGCTCGCAA